GACTCCGTTGATTAAGAAGTCTTATGACAGTGTCCCTCACTAAATGGGGTGGGGTACTGTGTAATTACATCACCCCACTGAAGGCACTTTACTGTGGGCGTGTTAGAGTCTATAGTGAGATATCAGGTGAGTTGTGCACGTCGAGTGGTGTCCTTCAAGGATGCCTATTCTCTCCATTCCTATTCACTTTTATCAGAGATGTTTTTATGGAGGTCTCTCGTCATCTAACCACACAGGGACTGACCTGATCACAGGTGGACCTAGAATTCACAGATGACATAGTCTTGTTAGGTGAAGACGCTGGCAAGATGCAGCGCGTGGAATATCTGGGCGCATTGAACACTTCAGTGACCTTAGAAGCTGGATCAACCATTGAAGTAGCTCAGTAGCCAACGATATCTCTGCACAGATACGGAAAGTTTGGCTGGCTTTTGCCAACTCACGCCATCTGTAGTGCCGCCGCGATATCTAATTGTTTACTTGGGCCTGGGTGTACTGTGCTTCAGTCCGCCACTTCTACTGCACGGCTGTGAAACGTGGACATTTTAGGTAGAAGACATGAGAAGGCTTCACGTGTTTAACCACCACTGCCTTCTTAGCATAGGCCGTGTTTCGTGTTATAGCCATTTGAGTAACGCAGAAGTCAGGAGTGGAGTCCTAGGCAGGAGAGGTAAGACAGTTGATGCGGTTGTGAACATTTAGGATTTGTCCTGGTGCGAACTTGACAGACGCAAAGACCAATCACTAATTATTCGAACTTGTTATATACCCACGAATACGAGACCAAGGTAGAACACGATAGCGTAGTCGGATGGAATAGTATATTTGGATGGTTATGCCAAAATACCGATGCGTTCCAACTAACTGGCTAGAGAGTCGAATACGAGCAATGCAACGTAACACGACAGCGTGCCAAATGGCGAGGATGCTTGACCGGGTGCCTTCAGCTTAGCGAGTCCAGTTAAACTATCAAGGTCAGCATCAATGTCGAAAGTCGTCAAACCCTAGGCTATTGATTTTGGGGAAGTGTATGACGCTACAGATCACTCCCCCCCTAGTGGGTTCGTGAGGACCCTAAGACGATACCAGCCGGAAGTAAAAACCCAGTGGTTTCTCCACTGGTAAAACTCTTCCGATGGGCTGACTGCGTGAGGTGGCCCCTGGTTGTCTGAACCTTATTCTAGGGTGTCGTGGCGATTAAATAAATAAAATACAATAAATGGAATTGTACGTCGGTCGCGGTCATCTGTTCCTTTCGACGTTCCGTCCAGTGCTCGTTGCACCTGGAATATAAATAAAAGTCTTTAATACCACGAAAACGTTGCGTAAAAATGGGAATTATTTATATATAAACATATCGAAAAATAAAAATTTACGCTTATCTTCACCGTTTTTTTTAAAATTTCATTACATGGTAAATAAAAATTGATATAAAAAGGCAAAGTATACGAGGGTTTGTATTGATGTATCGGGTAGGAGTCCGGAGTTGTTTTGGCGTTGAGCCTTCGGTAATCACCGGTTGGACGCCAGTCGTTGCTATCCTTTTGGGAACCATGTGCAATGGCGATGCCCAAGGATTGTTCGACGGTCTGATAATGCCCAGGTCGAGCATGTGGTCGAATTCATTTTTCGCCGTTTGGAGCTTATCGGGGGCTAGACGGCGCGCTTTGGATGCCACAGGTGGACCTGTGGTTGTGACGTGATGCATAACATTGCTGGTTATGCACGGAAGAGTGTGCTTCGGTTGCTGTAACTCTGGATATTTCTCCAGAACTGCCTGGTAGGACGCGTCGCCTGATTGTTTAGTCCTAACGATGGCTAAACTCGGACCTACATAGGTGGTGCCGCCAATGATAACTTTGTGCTGTTATCTATCAGTCGTCGACGGCGAGCATCTACGAGTAGATCGTAATGGTTTAGCAAATCTATGCCAATGATGGGCATAGAGACGTCTGCCAGGAGGAAAATCCAGTGGATAGGTTTGCGTAAACCTAAGTTGAGGTAGGCATACCGTCTCCCGAATGTCGCGATTGCCTTGCCGTTGGCTGCTTGAAGATTGAAGGATGGGTCAAGATGACGCTCCTTTGTCGTTGCTGGAAGAACGCTAACTTCTGCGCCGGTGTCGACGAGGTAGCGGACTTTCGTTTTAACGTCGGTGACGTAGAGCAAACGGCTTTTTCCGCCGGCTACGGTTGCCGTGAGCACGTGCCGGCGTGACCGTTTCCCGAGTTTGGGTCCTTCTTAAAACGGCATGGTTTACGACATTTTCTGGCTTCATCCCCGTAAGTGTTATGAAACCAGCACCATTCAGGGTTTTCCACCCTGTTGGGTTTCGTTTTAGGGCTACCACGCGACTTGCTGCGATGCGCCAAGGTGCGTTTCTGTGAAGTGCTACGTGATCTAGGACTTCGAGATCGTAGCAACCGTTTCACAGAGTTGCACAACTTGGTCACCTCTGAATCCTGGCGCTCTGTTTTGTCGCAGATAGAATATACGTTGGAGACGGGTCTGCTGGATATCTCCAGTATTTTATCTGCTGAGGCTGCCAGGTCGTCGAGTGGGACTGACTGGAGTGTCACCAACACGGTTTGCACCGGTTGTGGTAGTTTCGAGAGAAATAGTTCTCGGAAGAAACCATCGTCAAATGTTCGTGCACCGATTACTTCTCGCATGCGTGCGAGGACTTCAGTAGCTGAGTGGCTGCCTAGCTCGATGTTACGAAGCAATTCGTCTAGACGTTGGCGATCTGTGAGATCGCTTTTCTTCAAGAGTGCGGCCTTTAGAAGTGCATAAGGGTCACTTACTTCAGGATTAAACATGTTTGCTGTAACATACCTGTTTAATTCTCGCGGTAGTGACCGTATGACAGCAAGAAATCGAGATTAAGGATCTGAGACACCCTGTTCTCGAAAATCGGCCTCGGCATACAGAAACCATGTTTCTGCATTGTCTGGCCAATATGGCACGAGTTGGATCGTGTTCGAAGTCGGCTTAATACGAATAAGCTTGGGAGTGTGGTCGGACATGAGAAAGTGTAGTAAATGGATATATAAATGTTATCGAAATGAAAACAATAAACAAATATAAAATGGAACAGGCTCACCAATTCAATACTTGTTATTGGTCGGGATATGTGATCACGTCGGGCTCACCAATTTAGGATTTGTCCTGGTGCGAACTTGACAGACGCAAAGACCAATCACTAATTATTCGAACTTGTTATATACCCACGAATACGAGACCAAGGAAGAACACGATAGCGTAGTCGGATGGAATAGTATATTTGGATGGTTATGCCAAAATACCGATGCGTTCCAACTAACTGGCTAGAGAGTCGAATACGAGCAATGCAACGTAACACGACAGCGTGCCAAATGGCGAGGATGCTTGACCGGGTGCCTTCAGCTTAGCGAGTCCAGTTAAACTATCAAGGTCAGCATCAATGTCGAAAGTCGTCAAACCCTAGGCTATTGATTTTGGGGAAGTGTATGACGCTACGAACCTTCATCGACTGAGACGGCTGGCAGGGACATGCGTTACCTATGCTTAGCCATCGTCTGCCTCGTCACACAATGTTGGCCAAAGTAGGTTCAGTCTGGAAAATGGGTCGGGGCGGTCAGACTAAAACATGGCACCAATGCATGAAGTCCTCGACTGTTCGGTTGAGCTATGTAGGGGGATCCAGACTAAGTGGTAGGGGTCCACATGACAGGAGATCCCAGTGGTTGGAGACTCTAGATGATATGGCTCGGTGGTGTAGATGTATACACACATTATCCCCAACTTGACCACAGTACTTAATCACATCATTTTCTCATTTCCCCCTCCTCTCTTCTACTATTTTCTACTCCTACTCCCTTTCCTTCGTTATCTTTCACTTTACTGCCTTGTTACTTCATGTGCTGATATGAGGTGTGGCAATTAGAACCGTTACACAGTCATGCCTGGTCCTATGTTCATTTTGATGATGATACAACTCTTTGTGCACCTACTAAGTCAGAGACTGATGTTGTATTCACCTGTATGTAGAACTCGTTACAAAAGATTATTTCAAGGCATTATTGAGCGCAGGACAACTACTACGTTGATCTGTTAACATCTTAAGGAGTTACATATCATTAGTGGATATAGCTGGAGCATGAGCAATAAATACATGATCAGAGATCAAAGCTTTGTATTTACCAACTCTCTGTAAAACCCTTCCACTTAAGTATAAATATCACAACAACAACAATAGGAGATATTTCGATAGTGTAGTAATTAGAAGACGAAGTTCATCGTCAAATTACGCTATCAAAATTCATAAAAGTGACTCATAGTTTCAAATAGTAGATATTATTGTTATCTATAATAATAAATAAGCATGAACAAATAACACAGTAGAATTTTCAGCCTACTCAATTCCAATAATCACGGTAAGCAGAAAAACTTCTGTTCCATCAAGAGGACAGTTCACTAACGATTGCGAGTGTTATTCTTGTTAAAATATTCAATGATGATTATGATGATGATAATAATAATAATAATAGTGATGGAAATGATGATAAAATGAATCACAGAGCGTGTTGACAATGGGCAAATAGTGAGAATAGCAAAAGATAAGAAAGAAAAAATAAGTTATAGTAGTCTGCTTTCACTGATGTATACAAAAGTTAGATGGTTTTGTTCAGTCGATATAAAGATCTTCAGTGATTTGATGATACATCTGGTTACGATTATTATTATTATTATTACTGTCGGAAAGGGTAAAAATTCAGATATTGTAACATAATTTATGTGTAATATCTTCTTAAGAAAATTCTTGACTTTTAAAACAGCTAAAAATGAATGTTCTACATAGAAAGCAACAGGGACAATTGAAAATAAAATGTATGAAATATTGGGAGAGAAGAAAATAATTGCCAGAGGAAAATATCCTTGTGCTGACACTGTCTCATGTATACATAGAAAGACTAAATGTGCAAAATAACCTTCAAAAACTTTCCATTTTATCATTTTATTCAGCAGTTCGCCGGAGATTGTGATGAATCTAATCGATGCACTTGTCTCGATCCACTATCTGATCTAACACAACAATCACCAGATGGATTTGCAATCGAAGCGTCAAATCCTGACTCTTGGTCTGCTGTTACAGGCGTGTATTTCATTAGAGTATCTTCTCTTGAAGCAGCACATTTCAATTCTTCCTTCTCAGTATCTCTATTATGAAATGAATGACGTCTATGGCTACTCTAGAAGATAAAAATTAGGAAAAATGCACTTCGCTTTATTATATAAATGTAAAAGGCAGTTGCTTCAGTTAGAAAAAGTATTAGGTGAACATGAGTTTAACATCGAATATGATGCTGTTGCTTGTAACAACCCGTCGTTGACTAGGCCAAATAGATTGGCCATCATTTCTATCAAAACTCAAATTACAGGCAACATCGAAGTATCTGTAAATAAACAAACCTATGTACCGATAGCAGCCGATAAAGTCGATCCAAACAACAGTGGGAAATTACAAGCTTTAACACTAAACAACATCTGTCACACAAGAAGTGGCTATTGTCACTCAATAGTCTAGTGGACAACGATCTGGTGTTCGAAGTGATGGATTTATAGTTCGACTAGGAGCAACAACACTCACTGGGAGACACGTACATTCAGCTGACAAGTTCACAGTTTATCGAAACATACGTCATGGGTTTCACTGTTAGACACTATCCATCATTACTATCAATATCAAATATGATTTACAGTTAAATACTTCAATACTCGACCGATAGCTGGTGCTACCTTGATGTCGTGGTCGCGACTGTATATCGTGATGACCCAACCCAGTGAGGTATCCTGGTGGAATGCTTGTCCCATCGATGTCTTACCATACCACAGAGGTCTGTTAGATAGTGGTTAGACAAAAAGCAGTTAGCCTTAATGTTAACACGCTGTAAAATAAATAGATGACGCATTATGATGGCTCAGAGCAGTCACCACTAGCTACTGATGATCGGAAACCACAGGACAGACATATGTCCAACTGCATCTCCCATATCTGACCTCAAAATCTTAATATAGTATTTGATAGATTAGGTCATTTTGCTTAATTAACTCTACCGGATCTTTTAGCCTACAAGGTTTATAAATTTAAATGCCACCCCAATCCCAGCACTGTTAAGAATTCTACGTAGAATTTCCGATGTACCTTCTTGATATGGCAACACTATACAGAATTTGGATCTCATTTCAGGCATGTTGCAGTTAACACTAATATTATCGCTACCTGTTTGTTAGATGGTAGGAGAAATTGATTAGAGAACCTTTGTGTTCATTGAATCAACACCTAATGAATGTAACATGAATGAAGAACTGTTGGAGTATGTAAAACAAGTTTGAAAATCGTAGCATTACTTTGATATGAATGTATGTGAGCAATAAATTCTGCACGAAATATCATTCAGTAAATAGTAGTGTAACAAATAAATATTCTTATATGTTGCATATATTTATTCCCCTTTATGAACTTGAATTCGAATATGCGTAGTTTTGTCAATAACTTTCGAGAGTAAGATATTTCCCGATAAAATTACACGTCATCATCCAGTGAGTGATTTACATACTTTAGCTGGATGACTGTGTGACAGATTTCTTGGTTTCATCAGATCCTAATGAGGACGTCCGAAGGGGACATCTATAAAGGATAAAAACTCTTTGAATATGATTCAATGAGAGAGGAACAACAGAAACTTACATTTCAACATAAACTCACACCTTACAACTATGTTTTATTGTCATTCCATAGTGCTAAGCTGTTTCGTCTTATACAAACACGATTTCATAGTCTATACAGTAAGAAGTAAAAACTGTACACACAACAGCCAGTTGACAGATACAGTCGTAGGTAGTTTGACACAGTATACAAAGAAGGGGCTTCTTAAGCAATTGATACCAGAGTATTATTTAATGTTTGCCTTATCACAGACCTTATGACGCTTATTACTATAGTCAGAAATATTTTGTTTGATCAGTCATACTAGTAGAACGGGTCAGATATAGTAGCTCTATGCGTTGTGTAGCTGTACGAATAACTGTACGCGATTTCCAAGGGTATACGATATAGACATCAATATGGCACTGTATGTATTGAATCCTAAACAGATTGTGTCTATAATAAATAAATTGAAAGGTGGATAGATCCTACGGTTTCTTCAGGAGCTGTATGAAAAATTGACACTAGTAACAAATAACATGGAAAAACAATACATTTAGACAGTTTCGTCTAAATTCACTGTTGGCTGTGGAACACAAATGCAAAGTGAATAAACAAACAACTCTGTAAACTATTTTTCCAAAATTCACAGGGGTTACCAATCAATTCCACAACTAATGCCTCGAGATAATTTCAAAAAACATCCCTACTCTGCCTATCATGACTACGATTATCGGTGTATATCAAGTACAACGGTTGAAGGTCTGATGTATGGTTACATTATCTCTTGGAAGTACGATATACTCTTTGAGAGTTAGTTTTGCCAACATGTCACAATATATGCGTAGTACAATCACAGTTATCACTCTAAGCACTGACTAACTCATTGACAAAATCAACACAGAACCTGACACACAAGTGCACAAGTTCATGTTGTCACGTTTTAGATTAGTATGCAAAAGACAGGTGGATAGAGAAAGGGTGATAACAAAGTGGACAAAGTTGACTTAGAGAATAAACAGTTAACGGTTAGTGAAAATATTCAAGCCGTAGAAGATATCAAGGAATGAATACATCTGCGTCATAGTCATCAAAAGTCCTCGACAACTGATTCCTAGCATTTCGGGGACCCCAACTAGATAGTCCACATCTCCCCACATGGTTCAAACCAACAGGTGCCACGTATTGGTTTGGCCAACTTGAACCCTCTTCCAAGTTAATCCACCTTCCCTTGGTATCTCACACTGAGGTGGGTGGTACATTGCCATGCTCAACACATGTCCAACCCATATCAGTTGACTAAGATTCACAACCTACCTAATTAATCGAATTGCCTTGTATACTTTGCCTAATCACAACACTGTTCACATGATGATTACAAAAAACGCGAGCAATGCTTCGAAGACAACTCTCATCAAAACCACGTAATCGCTTCATGTCTTCTATTTTTTAACGGTATAACTGATTACACATCTATACTCTCATTTCAAAGCGATTTGTGTAATGTGATTACTGAACCTGTTAACTACATACATCTAAGGTAAAATGGGAAATTTCAAAAGAATGTCCTAGGAGGCAACAGTGAAAATGAATTGGCTAACATCAGATGAATTTCCACCTACCAAGTAAAAAACATCAGATTTTACATCACAATTCGAAAAACCTACAGTGGAACGTTTTCGTTTCCTGTGAGTACACTCTTCAATTGCACTTTTCGGTAGAATATCAACAGCACAGGATGGTGCAAATGCAGGATTAATTGATTGAACATGATTACCAGGTACACCATTATGCATAACTGAAGTGTACTCAACATCTTCACTGTCTGTTGAAAGTCCTGAATTATAACGCTTTCTGGGGGCTTGTGACTGTGCTATTTGTGCGCTAACATCACCTTCGTTGAAAAGTTCTCTTGGTAATGCTTGAACACTGGCAGAGCGAATGATAGGCGGCCAAACTCCGGCTAGACGATCAATTTCATCACGAATACGTTCATAATCTTTGCGTGCAACATGTCTGTTGAACGTATTTTAAACAAAATAAGTGCATTAAGGGGAACCTTATCAAAAAGTAAGATTATTATGAACTACTACACAATGATGCTGTTGTGGGATCTTTGTCCCACTGAATTGTAAGGCACATATGATATTACAACATCTGTTAACAATAGTATATAGATACATATATATCAGGGAACATTCATCACGGAGTGACATAACTCGAAGAACCACTAAAACCCAGGGAACCCTAGACAGCCGTTGTGTCCTAATGCAGGACATCTCAGCAGTAGGCACCTACGACCCAGCCAGAGATCGAACTCAGAACCTCCACGGAGGAAGCGTTAGCCATACAGCCACTCGGTCGGAGTTCAGTCGTCAACAGTTTCCTACTTCTATCAATTCGCGACTATCACCCGAGGTCTTCAGTTCGCATCCACTTCCCTTCCGACTAGTTGACCTCACACGTCATGGCTTCTCATTAGAGCTTCAGGATTTCCATCTCGAAGCATTTTACTCATGAGCACTGTACAGTAATGCATTTTGAAGTCAACGGAGATTTTAGTTTTGAGGTAGTATTCACTATGGATGGAGATCAACAGGAGAACCATTTGGAAACATGGACAGCTGCCTCGTCCCAATACGAAACTCATCACCAGTACGTGCCTACTGCTCTCAGACTTCCCAATGGTTGTTCAAATGATGGCAGTCCGTGATCAATGCTACCTTAAAAGTGAAATCCTCACTAACCCAGAAATAGATATATATATGTCGGTAGTTTTACCAACTAAGATCCCAGCTTGATTGCAAATTTAGACAAACGATGGGATTTTCAGAGCCAATACTGGACATTCTCAATAACGATTGGTTTATTGATACTATCAAGAAATTAAAGTTACAGGAATCCTACATAGACAGCCATCGCTAATACTGATCTGATCTTATCACAACAATTTAACACTCGGAATAGTTTGTTGTCTACGATTTTAACATTTTACTAGCTTGAAAATTATCCTCCAAATTTGATCTTTATAATAAACCATGGTGTTGATGAATTCCAACTGAATTACTAATCAATAAGCATCTGTTTATACATAACGTAACATAATTATAGATTGTATTATTGAGGTAAGAGAGTAGATGAAATGTAAAAACATGTGAGTCTCTTAATCACGTGAAAAAACCATGCGCACAACTCTGTCAACGATTTAAAACTTAGATGTCAAATTAGCACTTTAAGTAATAGACTTCTCCTATTTAAACTACTTGATTACATGAAACTCATATTTAAGAATTTTCAACTTTTACAAGCACAATACTCAACCTGATCGACTCACTTGCCTTCTTTACCTAGTACCCTTCTCTCAACCTTGACATTGCTTAAATAATGATTCCACCACACGTGGGAAACGCTGTGAAGATACCGTGACAAAGAACCTATAATCTCTTCACATCATTTTTTTCAGCGGCCATCTCACACACATAATATAGAAGAGATCAAAATCCAGAGTCGCACACCCACCCCTTAATAGGCAGTCAGATATAGTGCCGGTTACATAGATGATGTAATGTTGATAAACACAACAGCAGCCTTTAGCATAAAGGCATAAATTTCATCAACAACCCACCCAAAAAGATAAAGTGGTGAACGCTGTCCACCCAGGATTTTAGTTATAAAGACCAGTTCATGAGAATATGTATTCACACAACATATCCTGATTTACACTGTTGAAAACACTTCAGAGTGGGTGGATCAGTCGTGAAGGATTTCAGGAAATCCCGGTCTCTCCAGAGGACTTGGAATTTATAATACACTAACACTGTGGCATATATTTTTCAAGGACATCAATATAGCAGGTTTCACATTACAATAGATGACCTTGTTTTCAATGCTAGTTATCAGCAGAAGAACAAGCCAATTTTAACCACAACCTACAAACGCCTTGTCACTCTTTGCTTATTTGCTTATGATTGAAGTGAAATAAAAACCTGAGCAGCAGCAGCAGTTAGGTCTCGTAGCTCAGCACTAGACCAGAAACCTGGTGGTCGCTGGTTTGAATCCTCCAACAACCCAGATTTCCATTTCACCTTCAATCATCACTCCCAATCTTTCTTCAATTTTCATACAATACATTCTTCTCCTCGATGCTTCCTCTGCACTATTGCAAAATATGACCAACGTGTGCATCTAACTATGACACTGACTGACGCGGGTTCGAATCTCGCGAGAGACATCACTCCCCATGAGGTTGCAGATATGATTTGCTTACGAATCTCCAGAAAGCACAAAAACTATGTGAAGCAGGGATACCTGCCAATCGCCTCCAACCGACTCACATGAACTAGGATCGTTTTCTACATCATACTGCATGCACTTCTATCTGTTCAACGAACATAATCTTTCAACATAATGGCATAAGTTTAATTACAAATCATTAATAGCTGGTGATGTATTCGAGCTAATGAAATGTATGCATCAAACCATCATGACGTTTTGTAATCATCATCTATTAAAACTAAAAAAAAATGATTCAAGAGAATTGAAGTATTGCACTTTATGCTTCAAAATAGGTAGCGAGTAATTATTTATAGTTAAGAAAATACCTCGGGAATAATGCTCGCCGAATATGACGTATACGTTGACGAAACGAGACACCATCCACAATCGATTCCAAGATACATCCGAACAAGAGATTCCCAAGGGCTATTCCATGCAGGATGAGTAGGAAAAGAACAGATGGAAGTCGACAGAGCTAAACAACAACAACAACAACAAGGCACAGAAAAACAACACTGGTTAAGGTCATCAAATCAATAGGCAGAAAAAAAGTTAGATACACATACATACTACTGCCATCAAATGTATATAGATCCAAATATAAGAGAATTTATCCATACAGTATACACGATATTGTTATAACAGGAACACCTTGTTAATTTCACTTGACATATGCCTCGACCTATCTTGTGTAAAGATGCATTCGAGTGGCTCAATTTATTTTAGTTGAGATAAACACAAGAAAATTTCATCATTTAGTGATTGAATAGATTCATTCTAAGTAACACACAACTGATACACCACGTCTTGATGTGTTGAATAACATTTAAACAGTAACTGAAATCAGGTAGCCTAATGCTCAACTGAGAAACAACTTCTGCTTACAAAACATGCTCAACACAGTCTAATTTAGACAATTCTTCACTTTCACAAATTTGAATAAACCAGGAAGAACAATAGAAGCAGGATTATTCTGCATGTTTTTCGTCGATTCTCCTCAGCTGCTTTACAACCTAGAGAAGATTACGTTTATTTGTGATAAACAATATGTCATACCTTAATAAATCGGCAAGAATTTTTCGAATATAAATGGAAGAGACAAAGATTCAGGTTGACCGATTCTGATGAAGTTAAGACTACTCAAAGGTTAACTATTTATACAGTGATAGAATTAATATTGTACAGAAGACAGTAAAAAAACGACATAAATGGCATGAAAATGACGTCATGGTTAAGTAAGCGTAATAAAAGGTCTACAGGTTTTCCTTACATTGAGTAATACGATAAATACAACTCGAAAAGTGAGAGTAGGTTTAAAATGCATCGAAAGATAAAGTGAAAAACTAAGGGTCATGACATCATGAAATCTTGTACAATTACAACTGCTTCAGCGAACCACAAAAAAATGGGTGTCAGTTGTTGTTTATTGACCACTTTGAATGACTTGAATTCGTCGACTTTATGTCTAGTATCAAGTCAATCCCGGGCGATTGCACTATTTAAACCCTGTCGACCCTTATAACTCAAATTCCTTGGTATATGTTCAGAGATGTGGACAAGAACCCTTCTCTCTCTTCTTCCGATTTATGTGTTCGATACGTACATGTGAATTGGTAGATAAAGTTGGATGTAACAAGAGTTAGGAACTTGTTTACTTTTGACCATATTAGAGCACACTTTACGCGTGTAGTTAAAAAAGCGTTTTCACCAGACATTTCTTGTAACTTATTGGATATAAGGTGTTGAAAATTGAATAGACTTCAGTTCACGTGTCTTTCCAATGAATACATCTATGAATCTTTCCACTGGTATGACGTTGTAGGTCGAAGTCTAGGAAATGAAATTTGTTGTTATGTTCAGTTTTCATGTTGAATGCTACATTGAGGTAGGCTGCACTGGAATCTAATCTACACAAATTTCGGATTCTTATTAACGTCAACAGTATTCATCAATTCACATGTAAATGCAGAAGTAGGTATATAGGAAGAACAGAGAGACGGTTATCTACAAGAATTGCGAAGAACATGCCAAAGAGTCATCCTCATTCAACAGTAGTCCAATAGCTTATCACTTATGCAAAACAGGAACACCAAGTAGACGCAGAGAAGTCCTTAACGGTAGTTAACAAACAAAAGGTTTGGCACTCATAATTTGAATTACTGAACCCGTCATCAACTGATGAATTCAAGCGAAGTGTGGGTTGAGGAGACAGTCATCAAGTTATTATTGCTCTAGTAATTAGTGACGTTTCACCCTTTCATCTTTCTCAAATAATTTCAATGCCTTCGTTGTATGCTCATCTCACACTCGCATTCATATTGACCATCGTTTAACTATTACTGTATTAGAAGAAGTATTCATCATTAACTGACATCAGCTGGAGAACTATTGAAAATTCAAGAGTGCTGGGCAGATGTTTCGTCCTAGTATGGGACTCCTCGGCAGTACGCACCCATGACCCGGTTAGGGATCGAACTCAGGACCTTCGGGTTTCACGGAGAACGCGTTTAAAATATCCCCATCCATCGCAAAATATATATCATTGTATTTCTCATAACAACGGTTGTTATTCTCAGACATTAGTTATTAGATTCAGATAATATTTCCACATAATTGCACAACCATCTCTATGCATTTCTAATGTTATCTTATTCGTGAACATTATTCATCTGCCTTATATAAGAAGTCTAGTTTGAATAAACCCCCTTTGTGTTGTGAAGTGTGATGTGTTTCGTTTACTAAATTTCAAAACATTAACTGGGATCTTACGCGGCTCTATGTAAGGCATTATGTTAATATTCGTCATAATGATTGCTTACTTATTGATTGAGGTTGTATGTAGCTATTGCCAAATCCTATGAAACGAAATGAAGTCATCTTTATTTGTAAATGCACTCATTGAGTTATTCAAAATCTAAGGTATGTTGAGAAGAAATCGCTGGTAAGTGGCGTACTTAACCATGTCCTTCCTAGGTAGCAGATCTCATGGAGGACACTTTTAGTACAATAGAAATGCATCAGTTCAAATTCGCAGACGGTAACCCATACAGAAGAAGAGCGTAAAAAAATGAGAATGATATCACCTAATACGGACACTACAATCTACAGAGTTGAAGGTATATCTAGCTGATGAGCCATACATTGGACGAAATGTGAGTACTCGATACCACTGCTAGCCATAATGAACTAAATACAATTAAGAATAACAGAAATAGTAATTATCAACGAGGTTAAATTCACGGTTGAAATGAGGATAATCAGAGAAAAACAGTTGGTATTTGATACTGTTTAGCATGAGTCGTCAGAAACTACTCTCGTCAGTCAACATTGTTGCATGCTTGTCAGATGAAGGTGATCTACACACTGGGCGACAGTTTCGCATTGTTTAGGATCAGTCTCATCACCGGTATATCAAATTATTCAATCTTTAGATCACCTTGATCTGATGTGACAGCGAAACTGTTTAATGAGTAAGAGTGGGTTTTTAATCAATTACACCAATTAGTAGTAGCACTTATTCTTCCTAGCCTTTCAGATTCAAACAGATCACAATTTTTAGTATGAAAATCCCAGTTTCTAAAGATTTTAATTATTAGGCTACGCATAGATATGTCAATCTCACCATGGACTGACAGTCTTACGAGTATTTGCTTTGAATCACAGATCATAATGGTATTGCAGTTATTTACTTCAACACTACGGAATACCAAAAACCTTTATCAACCTCATTCAACAACATGCCAAGTAATTCACAATAAAAAGCTCAGTGATGCCTTTGAAGTGAAGACAGGAGTAAGACAAGGCTGCCGCCTACTATCACTAATGATATTCCTGATTGTGGTGGACTGGGTCATGCAACAAACTGTGAGGAGCGAGAAGAGGGACATACGCTGGACAGGGGAAAAGAACCTAGAAGATTTAGATTTCGCCGATGACATGTCTACTGTCACACAAACTCGAAGAAGATCTACAGGCGAAAACTAACAAGTTGACAGAAGAGGCAGAGCAGGGAAGACGGGACTTCAAGTGAATGCAGCGAAGACAGAGGTGATGAAGATACCCAACCAACAACAACATCAATAACAAGTACCAATCACCATCAACGGGAGAAACCTAAAAGAAGTAGCCTCTTTCACCTACCTGCCTACACAGCATCGTTTCAATTATAGACAGCGGTACAGATGACGATGTCAAAGCCAAGATCGGAAAGACACCAAGACAGGCGTTCATTAACGTGAAACCAGTGTGGAGATCTTCTGCACTCAGGATAAAGCGTGAATAACATCCGGATTTTCAACACCAACTTCAAGTCAGTACTTCTATATAGTTCAGAGACCTGCTACGTTACGGAAGGGATTTCCAACAAACTACAGACATTCATCAACAACTGCCTACTCTGACTCGTTACTGAAGATCAGATGGCCAGAAAGAATAAGCAACAAGGAACTGTGGCTGGTTGGTAACGAACCAACCAAGAAGGTATCGCTCAACAAATATGCAAAAGGAAGTTGAGATGGATTAAGCATACACTAAGAAGACCATTCGGGGATAGCACGCGCCAGTCACTCGAGTGGAACCCAGATGGGAAACGGCAAGTTGGGCGCCCGAGGGTGAGATGGAGACCGTGCGAGGAAGAAATGAGAACTTCTGGGCAGTCGTGGAGCCAGGTTCAAAAGATTGTAGGGAACAGAGTGCACTGGAGACTTGCTACTGGAGTCCTATATTCCATTAGGAACCCAAGGGACAAATAATAGTAATGATAATAGTTGTTCATTTAAATACTGTCAATGATACTGACATGCTTCAGTAGCGTAATTTACTAGCTTGGTTTGCAATTGTAAGTCGAATAATCATATGCTTCTCTGGGCATCTAACATTTCTAAGTTGCAGTTTACGAGTCATTATTAAGCGCGCCGTTTTCGGAAGTGTCAACACGAACTGTCCAGTTGTTATAATTTGTAATAATACCAAATTATAGGTGAGTAATCTAGATGTACAAATCAATGGATAACAACTTTCGCTTTAATTACGTACACGTAATATAAAGCTTAGACTGATGAAACTTCATTTCGATTGGAGAATAAGAATCGCCTGTACAGTGTGGTCATTGATACATGCTTGTCATACCTTTGATGCATATAAGTTAAATGGTACACAGAAATGGAAAGACAAATCAACAGGAAAAACAGTGTCACATAGAGCGGTAAAAGTAAGTAGTACATTGGAGACGAGATAGAAGAGGAATTGTAGTTTCATTAGGTGGATTTTCATATGATTTACATAGTCATAATCATTTCAAGAGATATGGAGCTGCGAGTATCAATTCGGGGATTATTTTTAAGTCAGTCACCAATTTCATGAAGTGTCAGTGTCGCCTAGGACATGCAACATAGACAAACCAATAAATAATAGGAACAACAATGTTTATCACATGAAATGCTGGTGGACATTTCTATTCTAGCCATTATATTCCTACAATTCACGATGCGGAGAAAAGGTGGATACAATCAATTATAAGTCACTCAGGTTACTCTCCTATAGAAACAAATAATAAAACCTTTGTTATCTACTAGGTGGAAGAACAATCTATGTGTCCTGAGTATTTGCTATTGTAAGGAATAGATTTATAGGTAGGTATAACACACACACACACACAGAGTAATACATATGCGCATTATTATTATTATTATTATTATTAATTATGTCCCTTGGGTTCCTAGTGGAACATAGGGCTTCAGTAGCACGCCTCCAGTGACCTCTGTTCTCTGAGATCTTTTGAACCTGGTCCCACGACAGCCCAGAAGCTCTCATTTCCTGCTCGCACGACCTCCTCCATGTCACCCTCGGACGTCCAACTCGTCGCTTCCCATGGGGATTCCACTCGAGGGCCTGACGCGTGATGTCCTCCGTCGGCCTTCTCAGTGCATGGCCAATCCATCTCCACTTCTTCCTGCATATTTGTTGCGTGATAGGTTCTTGGTTGGTTCGTTCCCAGAGTTCCTTGTTGCTTATTTTTTCTGGCCATCTGATCTTCAGCAGCGAGCGTAAGCAGTTGTTGATGAATGTCTGTAGTTTATTGGAAATACCTTTCGTGACGCGCCAAGTCTCTGAGCCATACAAGAGCACTGACTTGACGTTGGTGTTGAAAATCCGTATCTTGTTCCGCATGCTGAGTGCAGAAGATCTCCACACTGGTTTCAGGCTAATGAATGCCTGTCTTGCTTTTCCGATTCTGACTTTGACGTCCTCGTCCGTCCCGCCTGTAGTTGAAACAGTGCTTCCTAGATAAGTGAAGGAGGTTACTTCCTTTAAGTTTCTCCCGTTGACAGTGATTGGAGTTTGTTGTTGTTGATGGTGGTGGTGCGGTATCTTCATCACTTCTGTCTTCTCTATATTCACCTGAAGTCCCGTCTTCGCTGCCTCTTCTATCAACTTGTTAGTTTTTGCCTGCAGATCTTCAAGTTTATGTGACATTAGGCATAAGTCATCGGCGAAATCCAAGTCTTCTAGGTTCTTTTCCGTCGTCCAGTGTATCCCCCTCTTCTCGCTGCCTACTGTTTGCTGCATGATCCAGTCCACCACAATCAAGAATATCATGGGGGATAGTAGGCAACCTTGTTTCACTCCTGTCTTCACTTCAAAGGCATCACTGAGCTTCCCATTGTGGATTACTTGGCATGTAGCATCTTCATATAGTTGTTGAATGAGGCGGATAAAGGTTTGCGGTACTCCGTAGTATTGAAGCAGTTTCCAAATTACTTCTCGGTCGACGCTGTCAAAGGCCTTCTCAAAGTCGATGAAGTTGAGGTAGAGAGCTGATTGCCATTCTATGCTCTGTTCTATGATGATACGAAGCGTTGCAATTTGGTCTGCACATGATTTGTACTTCCTGAAGCCTGCCTGTTCCGGTCGTAGTTTTGAATCCAGTGCATCCCTTAGCCTCTCCAGGATGATGCGGCTTAATATTTTACTTGGGGTGGACAGGAGAGTGATTCCGCGCCAGTTCTTGCAAGCACTGAGGTCTCCCTTCTTCGGCAGTTTGACAAGGTAACCCTTCTTCCAATCGTCAGGTACCTTCTCTTCCTTCCACACCTTCTGCAATAGTGGTGTGAGCATGGCCGCTGTTGTCTCTGCATCTGTTTTCAGTGCTTCTGGCGGTATTCCATCTGGTCCTGCTGCTTTCCCGCATTTCAGTAGCTTTATGGCGTTCAGGACTTCCATTTTCGTTGGGGGATTAATGTTCACTTGTAGTTCAGCGGCTGCAGGTGGTATTTCTGGACGAAGTGCAGGTGGTGGTCGATTCAAGAGCTTCTTGAAGTGGTCGGCCCATCGTTTCCTCTGTTTCTCTTCTTTTGTAATTAAATTTCCTTCTTCATCTTTTATTGGTTTCATCTGTGTTGGTCTCTTCCCTGATAGCAACCTGGTTATTTGATACAATGTCGTCAGGTCTCTCTTACCTGCAGCCTGTTCTGCTTCACTTGCCAGTGTTTCGTAGAAGTGTCTTTTGTCTTTGCGTGCACTCTTCTTCACTTCTTTGTCCAGTGTTTTATACATTGTGCTCAGTTCCTCTTGTCGTTGAGCATCCTTGCACTGGTTTATCTTCTGCTTCACCATCCTCCTCTCCTCTATCAGCTTCCAGGTATCCGTCGAGATCCATTCCTTGTCTTCTTTCTTCTTCCTTCCTAATACTGTTGTGCAGGTTTCTTTCCACATAGCTTTCAAAGACTTCCAGTGTTCTTCCACACAGGTTTCTTCAGGGATGTTCCTCGATGTCTCCCATTTTGTCTTGATGGCTGCCTTGAAGATCTCCTTTGTAGTTTCATCCTTCAGTTTCCGAGTGTTGTACTTGAATTGAGGTCTATCACCAGCTTCCTTGAAGGCTTTTAACTTGATTTGGAAGGTTCCTTGCACTAGGTAGTGGTCTGAACCTACATCTGCTCCTCTTCTTGACCTTGTGTTAAGTAGACTGCGTCTCCATTTTCTTGAGATTGAGATAAAGTCGATTTGATTTTTAGTGTGTCCATCTGGTGAAATCCATGTCGCTTTGTGGATATCTTTGTGCCTGAACACACTGCCTCCAATCACCAAATCGTTGAATGCGCAGAATTCTGCAAACAATTCTCCATTCTCATTCATTTCACCTAGTGCCTCTCGACCCATGGTTAGTTCTCTTCCCGTGTTGTCCCCTCCCAGTTTGGCATTCATGTCGCCCATCAGAATTTTGATATCGCCAACTGACGTCTTGTCCAGTGTTGATTGAAGTTGTCTGTAGAAATCCTCCTTTTTCTCTTGCTCTGCATTATTTGTAGGTGCATAACATTGTATGATTGTGACCTTTCTTCCTTTTGAGTTGAATCTTGCTGTCATGATCCTGGAGGAGATTGGTTCCCACTGCATGAGAGCCTTCGATGCTCTTGAGGACATCATGATAGCCACTCCCTCAGTGTGCTCGTGGTTGGCGTCTGGGTGACCGGAGTAGATTATTGATTCTCCAGTTGACAGTTTGGAGAGTCCACTCCCATTCCATCTGCTTTCGCAAATCCCAAGCACTTCGATGTTATACCTTCTCATCTCCCTTGCAATCTGGGCTGCCTTACTGGGTTCAAACATCGTGCGGACATTCCATGTCCCCACGTTTACTTTCGCTTTCATCGAGAGAAGACACATCGGCCAATTGGCTTCCCGAAGGCTTTCACCAACTGGCGTCATTTCGCCTCTCCGATTCCAGCGGGGAATAAGTTTGTTTTCATTTTTTATATTTTGTTTGTGCTTTGAAGTTTCTTTAGCGGTTAGATTTGTTTTACGGGGTAGGGTTGCTAGCCCTATGCCCAACCTTCCCTCTTTACCCGGGCTTAGGACCGGCTAGTAACTAGTAAACATATGCGCATACTTGTAAATTTTACAGGAGAAAACAAAACTAAGCAATGAATTGAAAAAAAAGTGTTAAAAGCAAAGTGATTTATTCTTGATTAGATTAGAATCAAAACATTAGCCATTTGATGATATGAAAGGAAACAGATAAACATGGGGACATCTGAAAAAAAATTACTTTTCCTAGCAACCGTTGATAGAAAGGTGCAAGAATTTAGTGGATTCATCGATTTCCCCTACTCTATGAACAAGTTCTCATCATCCAAAAATGAAGAGGCACACACTAGTGAACTACTTGAAATCAATGAATCTCTTTGATACATTTTCTTCTAAGAAGAGAGAAGGTGAATTTCACTTTGAAGACGATCGTCCATGCATTGCTGTCAATATAGAGATAAACACCTTGAATAACCTTTTTCTTCAAAGGCCATATGAGTAAAATACACTGACTTGATAAGTAGTTCTCTGCGTTTTATAATGTAATAGAGATAAGTTATCTGATAAAATAAAATCATCACTATATATCTTACCTCAAATAGCTTACGAACTACGCGAGGTGGATGGGATGTGAGATACAATGAGGCGGCAACGCATGCAATGACGTTGATAATAAATAAACCTGTAGACATCAGGAGGAGGAGGGAAGAAATTAAGAATTGATGGTTGGACAAGATATAAAACTTTATTTAGAATGTAGCAAATTAGTGTCTACATAAAATCAGCTTCCAATGTCAAAATAACGATCCACTCTCCATAGATAGATAGATAGATAGATAGATAGATAGATAGATAGAGATAGACAGAGAGGTCGACGGTCTTAAAAAACTGAGAATAACAATAATCAACTGAACAGTTAGTAGTATCTTGCATAAAACTAATACGGATTAAAAGAACAATATATACGGAGTGTTGAATTCCAGTATCTTCTCATTCCTCCTTGCTCTTTTCTAAAGACCTTTTAGCACTATTCACTGCTTTCTTTCTTATTCTTTTGACGAAATATACCCACTAATTCATTGACAAGAACAAGACATGTATCAGTGAAGAAATATTTCTTTTCAACAACTTCATTATCATTATCCGAAAACGTGTTGCTGAACACTATCCAGTTTGCCTTACCAGAAGCGAACAAAGGAAAACAACTTCATCCATATGTGAACACTCACTCAACACCTCGAGATTTATCCTTTAAAATAATTTACAAAGTTAAATTGAACTACCCCCAAAAGGTTCACCTTTCCACCACTTATGCATAGCTGAAGCATTACCAGCCATACATGAACAAAAACCGAAACTTTGCATTGAAAAAAAGTTTTGTGAAACCACTTTCTCTACCTTGGCCTTAACAATTCATTTTGTTGATTTTGTCAATTTCACTTCACTTTGGTATACTTCTCTTCTATTATCATCATTATCGCCAATTTTCACTTCATTGACAACTTTGGACCCATATATCACTATTTCATATCAATTCATCCACCTATTTTGTCGGCTTCAGCTAAATTATCACCGTTTACAATTCCTTGACAGCACTTGTCTCTTATCTCACCACCTGTTATCAGTTCGTTCCTTTGTCAATGACCCATTTTCTATCTCTTCCACTTGAATAAATATCACCACCTACACCGATTGTATATTTTGCATATTGACTGAGAAACTCCCTTTTCAGAGCATTTATCTGTCACTTTGCCGAGTATAAAGAGGACTGTACAGCTAGATAATCAAGTCGTTGAAAAAAAAATATTTCTTCGCTGATACATGTGTTGTTCTTATTCTTTTATCGAGTTAGATGTACTGATATGAGGTGTGGCAACTTGAACTGCAATGCAGTAATGTCAGATCTCATTTGCATATTGACTAACTAGCTGGACTGTTCTGAAGAAATCTATTTATCTGAAAAATAGTTGGAACAGTAAAATCATTGTGTTACATCCATTTTGAAAAGTTGATCCGATCATAATCCATAGATTTCTAGCCAATAAGAGAGGAATCGTCGCCCAAATAGCTCAGTCGTAACGCCTCTGATCCCAGAAGTGAGGCGATCCAGGTTCAAATCTCATAGTGAACAGCACTTCGTTCGAGGCAGCAAATATCACTTGCTGATGAGTGTCTGTTAACAACCACGAAATCTAAATCAAGACATCCTGTCAAACTGCCTCCAATGAACTAACATAGCCAAATAGCATCTAGTTCGATGCCCATATTAAATCAGAGATATAAAAGAGCAAATAAAATAGATTGACTTTAAACGCCACCCTAGCAACAACTGAAGTAGTCAATTAGGCTTCTCCATTTCGGCTGAAAATGCAGATTTTAATAAAATAAAGAAGTCTAATTGGTTATTTCAGTTGCTGTTAGGGTGGACTTTAAAGCCCCCCCCCCCCCCCCCAATAAAATACCAGTAAAAATAATAGTGTCGTACGATCACTGAATAAATCTCAAAAGGCTGAATCATGATAAAAAAAACTATGGCGTCTGGGTTTTATCAGGTTGGATAAGCGATAAGAGTTCTCATTTCGTCGGTGAAGTTGTAAAAAGACACTAGTCGTACTTCACCAATGTTCTATCTCAGCATTAAACTGTGGTGCACATATACGTTAGTACAATAGAGATTTTCGCAACTGCAGAAATAATTAATTAATTAATTAACCCAATAAGCATGATTATACATTAAATACAACAGTGAACCTCAAACATGTAATGCATTTCATACACCTGAAGCACTGATGCTTGATTAACTCAGAAATTGCTTATTAGTCAATCAGATTAATTCACAGAGAAATTTCTCTTAAATGTCTCAAATCGAACAGACATTACAAAACTGTGGGAATGACACTAGGGGAAGTAGGTTCAATGTGAATTACTTAGAAGAAAATCAGAAAGTCATACATCAATATGTGCCTCAGAAAAGTTTAAAAAAAACAACATTAACTGTAGGAAAATGTCTTCATGAAAAACAATCTAATCACTGAAATACAATTCCACACACAGTGATACAGTATCATTTACTTCATGACGTTTCGAGCTTAAATTATTCTTCATGATCATATCAATGTGATCACACCTCTCTCGAAATCTGACTTCTATACTACCATCCCTTCATTTTCTTTGTCTTTATTAGTAATAAAATTTTCCATATCTCTGGTATAGGTGTTGCTTCATTCCTATCACATGTGTTGGGTTGGGTGTCGATTCGGTAAATAAAGATTCAGTAATCAGTCTATCTTCATCTAATTATATTGGACTTAAGTACAGTGCTTTTATTCCACACTGTTGTATGGTTGTGTGTTAATTCATGAGAAAACGTGGCTTTACAAATGTTTAATCCTGCACCTAAGATATAGTGGCAATATGCGGATAACACATTCACTGTGTTAAAACCCGAACATATCAACACACTCCTCACACATAAAAACTCAGTAGTAGCAGTAATTCAATTCATTCACGAGATAGAATATGAACAAGGAGAACTAGTTATATTGGACTGCAGAGTAAAACGAAGGACAGATAGTGGTTCGGATACTACCGTCTACAGGAAACCGACACATTCTGATAGGTAACTAGACTTCAGATCATCCATCTTATCATCTAATGTCAATTAACACTGGTTTAGTCAAATGTCTAAATGATAGAGCTAGACATCTGACTAGTCAGTTCAAATACTTAAACAAGGAAATGAAACATAAAAAACCGTAGATGACTATCCTCCACCGCTTATTAGGGTTTTCGTAGGAAGACATAAGAAACAAAATAATAACAGTAACACGAATGCGAATAATAGCAACAACACGAGTAGAAAACGGTTCAAAGCCTCTACTGTGTTGCCATATAACCAAGGAACATCAGCGACTTCATTCAGGATTCTCAACAAGCATCAAATTATGGTAGCATTTAAACCTACAAACTCACTCTGCGATATACTTTGTCGGCCCGCTTAAGGATCCGGTACATCCAATGACACAAAATAATCTAATCTACCAAATTCCATGTAATGACTGTGACATGAAGTACAGGGGTCAAAGTAGTCAGTAAGGTTCAGTCAGATTAGCGAACATAGGAATATGGCAAAACATAGAATGGCAGACCAGAATAACATCAATGATCTAGAAATACACTCGTCTATTGCAATCCATGGATTGACATACAACCACACAATACGGTGGGATTAAACCAATGTAATTAAGTTCAATCCAATTAGGTTGAGAAAGACTGATCACTGAATCTTTATTCATCGAATCAGCCAACACCCAACACATATGATAAGAATAAAGCAATACCTATATACCAGAGACATGGAAAACTTAACTACTAATAAAGACGAACCATAACCTCGCCTGGTTAACTAGTTCACTAGTTACTAGTCGGTCCTAAGCACGGATAAACAGGGAAGGTTGGGTATAGGGCTAGTAACCCTACCCCGGAAAACAAATCTAACCGCTAAACAAACTTCATAGCACAAAGAAATTATACAAAATAAAATTAAACTTATCCCTCGCTGGAATCAGAGAGGCGAAATTACTCCACCTAGTGAAAGCCTGCCTTCGGGAAGCCGACTGGCCGATGTGTCTTCTCTCCCTCAATGAAAGCGAAAGTAAGCGTGGGGATATGGGATGTCCGCACTATTTGAACCTAGAAAGGCTTCCCAGATTGTGAAGATGAGAAGATATATGATAAGAGTGTTAGGAATTTGCGAAAGCAGGTGGGATGGAAGTGGACTCTCCAAACTGTCAACTCGAGAGGAGTCAATAATCTACTCCGATATTATCACCCAGACGACAACCATGAGCACACTGAGTTTTCGAGTGGCTATCATGATTTTCCCTCACAACAGCATCGTAGGCTCCCCCTCATGCAGTGGGAACCAATCTCCTCCACTATCAGGATCATGACAGCAAGATGGATTCAACTCAAAAGGAAGGAAAGTCAGAATCATACAATGCTACTCCACGCACCTACAAACAATGCAGATGAAGAGGAGAAGGAAGAATTCTACAGACAACTGCAATCAACACTGGACAAGACCCCAGTTGATGACATCGAAATTTTAAAAGGTGACATGAATGCCAAACTCGGAGCAGACAACACAGGAAGAGGAAGGGAACTCATCATGAGTCGAGAAGCACTCGGTGAAATGAACGAGAATGGAGAACTCTTTGAAGACTTCTGCGCATTCAACGACTTGGTGATTGGAGGCAGCGTGTACAAACACAAAGCGATATGGATTTCACCAGACACCAGGACACACTAAAAATCAGATAGACTTCATCTCAATCTCAAGAAAGTGGAGACGCAGCCAGCCTGCTGGACACAAGATGAAGAAGAGAAGCAGATATAAGTTCACACCACTCAATATGTAGTGCAAGCAGCCTGCCTTCAAAATGAAGTTGAAAACCTTCGAAGAAGTTGATGATAATAGACCATAGCTGAAGTTGAACACCCAGAACAGAAAGTGAAGGACGAAACTACAAAGGACATCTTCACGTCAGTCATCAGGACAAAATGGGAGATACTGAACAACATCTCTGAAGAAACCTGTGTGGAAGAACACTGGAACTCTGTGAAAGAGACGTGGAAGGAAACCTGCATAACCGCACTGGGAAGGAAGAGGAAACAAGACAAGGAATGGATCTCGACGGATCTCCACATGGAAGCTGATACAGGGGGAAAATATGGTGAAACAGAAGATGAACCAGTGCCGTACAGAGATGAACAACGAAGAGAGGAACTGAACACAACCTATAAAACACTGGACGAAGAAGTGAAGAAGAGTGCGAGCAAAGACAAAACACACTTCTACAAAACACTGGCAAGTGAAGCAGAACAGGCTGCTGATAGGAGAGACCTGACAATACTACATCAAATAACCTAGTTACTATCTAGGAAGAGATCAACGCAGACGAAACAAATGAAAGATAGTGAAGGAAATCTAGTTACTAAAGAGCAGCAACAAAGGAAACGATGGGCTGATAACTTCAAAAATCTCTTGGATCAACCAACCCCACCGTCCGAAACTCATCCAGAAATACCAACACCAGCAGCCACAGAATTACCAGTGAACACAAGCCCTCCGACAAAAGCAGAAGTGAAGTCCTGAAATCCGGGAAAGCAGCAGGACCAGGTGGAATTCCACCAGAATCACTGAAAACAGACACCGAGACAACACAGGACATGCTTACACTATTACTCTAGAAGATTTGGAAGGAGGGAAAGATAACTGTCGATAGGAAGTAGAAGGGCTACCTTATCAAACTCCCAAAGAAGGAAGACCTAAATCTTTGCAAGAACTCGCACGGAATCATATGAGGTGATATAATTATAAAAATCAGATGTCAAAAGTGATATGTGATTACACATTGATATGATTATGAGCAGTAGTAATTTATGCTCGAAACGTCATCAAGTTAATAATATTGAATCACTGTATGGGATATATCATATCAACAAATCCAATATACAACTCCTCATCTAAGACAAAACAAACTTGAAAAGTAATCCCATCAAGTCAATAACATGATTTTCTTTAAATAAATCATAAAGCTAAAATCTTGAATATTAGAAATCTTACGGTTAGAAAAAATTGATCGACGATACGGTGCTCCTTTAGAGAAAACAATTGCCAATATCACATATTGATAGACGGATACAGTGAATATAGTTGTACTTTCGTAGTTCTTCAACTCATAGTCTTCATGATATGTGATAAGAGGTAAATACCTTGAAAACAGTAGTAGTAGTAGTCGTAATAATAATAATAATAATAATAATAATAATAATAATAATAATAATAATAGTAACAGTTGAAAATTAATTACACCTTGTTAATGATTGAGATTTCATACAGTAAAATTAAATATAACAAGACGAATGTGTAGATTATATATGGATTTCATTCTTACTACCGTCAGTAAAACAGCCATACTTCAGGTGCTCAAATGCAACAGTAGAAGTTAAGTGAATTCATGTTTTTAGTTGAGCATCGACTGTTTTGGATGAGTACATTGACCTCAAGCTGCAAAAGTTTGAGCATCAACATCAGTGTCAACTAGATTTTAGGCACAGTTGGCTAAGACGATTAGTGTACAGCATTTCAGCTACTTTCCTCTCTTTATACACATGCGTCACGATTGTCATCTCAGCAGTTCTCCACAACCATTTGCTTGCAATAGCAACACTTGGAAGAAGTGATCAATGTATCAAGTGGCACAGTGGGATGAAAGATAGTGGTGCTGGATTAGTATCTCTATTGATACCTCACAATTCCTTACATGGATTTAAGGAGACAACGCAACTTAGTAACGCGAGACAATAGCAGACATGGCTGAGAGTCAAAAACCGTTAACGGACATCAAAACTCTGTGGTTCAAATCTAACAATACAATGGACAGATAAGTCTTTAATGATAAATGTTTATAAGATATCAATGTTTCCATGGTTAGAAGTTAAATTTTCACATAAACATGAAAACATACACCAAATAGTCTGATAACATGAAATGCATTTAACGAGTTAATTAAAAACCTAAGAAATATATAACTATGAAAAACTAACCATGGTTGCATTCGAACGAAATGAAAACAGCGAATTGGACAACAGCACAGGTGAACAACTGTAAACCCAAAGATAATAAAGTCACAGCGGACACCAGTCGCATTCCAGGGGGTTCAACGGAAAGACGAGGATAAGCAGGAGTATAGCCGACTATAACAAAAAATATTTCCAGGAAATGAAAATTATGTATGTTAATAAGTCTATGGAATTATGAGAGCCGAAAAACAAGTATACAACATAACTCACTCCAATTCCCAAGTTATACAACTTTATTTACAAATAAAACATTCACTTTAGAATACAAAATAAAGAGAATGTATGTACAAAAAGAGTGACGCCGACTTCAAGGGTTGTTTTCCTTCTTCAACAATAGAATCTACATTACACTATATTCAGCAACTTAACTGTTTCCATTATTTAACATTTCGTGTACCATTCTACCCTATCATCATTCACATTCTTCTGCGATAGTCTCATCAGTGTCTCACATTATTCCTTCCTTTGATGCTTTTGAACATTAGTAATAAGTCACATCTGTCACTGAATGGGTTGAGCCAATTGGCCCAAAAACTATCTACTTATTAAGCAGAAATACTATGTGTAACTTCAATAATCTCAACTTGTTCATTCCCTTCACTTGGTGACAGAAATACTCTGCAAGTAGCGAATCATCTCACACAGATTCCTCAAACTGTGAACTTCTTAAAATACTCCCGGAATATATATTGCTGCATTATCCACACTTCACAATTGGTCATTATTACTTTCTAGAAAGGTCCACTGTTCAGTTATTTATGAACTTTCTCCTGGCGGGAACTGTAAACGCCTCATCATTAGGCATAATCAGGTATGTTGAACGATTCTTTATACTCTGAGTAAACCACTAGTCATCCATATCAATTTCATAGGTGTTGTATTGCTGCACAAATCTCAAACAACTGGATGAATGTACCATCAGTTAGCTTCATGAAGTGTAAGCCGGAGTAGTAATTCAGGTGTCGCTCAGCTATAGGAGAACATTCCTTATACAAAAACTTTTGAAAGAAACAGTTTGTTTAGTCCAACACTGGAATATCTACATTACTAAAATGCTTTAAAATTGGAGGATGAGAAATACCAATAACAAGTTATGTCTCAAAATATACTGACTAATCATGAATTGCTGCACCCATTTCATTCTAACTCGTGTATTACTTATTCACTAATACATCCATAACTAGCATGAAAAGAAGTTTAGTTCAGTGAGATGGTACTTTTTTCAGCAAATCGATTATCACATCATTTCCATTCAAGAGAATTACAAGTGGTTCAGCAGTAAACTTGTCATTCAGGGTCAGTGCCAAAATAAAGGATAAGCATCATTCATTGGAAGCAGAGAAAATTTTGTTACGTTGCACAATTAAGGTCAAGTGATATCAACCAAATCAGCATGATGGTACCAATAATAGAATTGGTGGAGTGGAATATAACGAATTTCCAGTAGAACTATTAGACTGGAGTAAAAAAGAGCTGTTTGCTGAGAAGCTTAGGTCTCTCATGGTATAACTACTCAAGTTTCAGCCATATGCATGTTTTTAAAAGCTTAAGTCTTGTGAATTAATCTTCAAGTGCTTAAGAAGTAGTCTCAAAAGACAAACATCAGTCTGACAGTATTTCAACTGTGCTATAATAAACCACAATGAAACTTTTTATGTGCTTATGTGCTGCCCCTTAGGAGAAATTAAACTATTCCCATCACTAACGCAGACAGACAAAATCAACACAGAACATCGCACACAAGTGCACCAGCTCAAGTCGACACATTCTGCAGTGCTATACAAAGCGAAAGTGGATAGAAAAAGTGATATTAAAGCACACTGAATTGTGTGCAAGAATAAACAATCTGGAGATAAAGGTTAGTGTAAATATTCAAGCTGTAGAAGACGACGAGGAAGGAATACATCTACACCACTGTCATGGATTTTCAGCCACGTCACCAAGAATCCTCATCCTCCGATTCCGACCATCTCGGAGACTTCACAGACAGGCAGTCTACATCTCCCCAAACGGCTCAGACCAACAGTGTGAGGCTTCATCGAATGGCCCCACGTCTTGGGTTGGCCACTCTGATCCCTTCCCATCCTAATCTAACTTCCTCTAGCATAGCATGTCAAGGTAGGCAGTGGTTCGGCATGCATAGTATATGTCCAAACTATTTCAGTCGATGAACGTCAACAACCTCAATACATTTGCCTGTCTTGTTTAGTACCCTTCACCTGACCACAACACTGCTCACATGGTGATTCCAACAAACGCGAGTAATCTTACGAAGACATCGGTGGTCAAAACCTACTAATCGCTTCATGTCTTCTACTGTTAACGACCACGTCTCACAGCTGTATAACAACGCACGATGAACTGCAACATACTACACTCGTCTTTTGATAGATAGTCGGATAGAAATCTATCTGTTGATCCACTACAAAGTTTCAGTGCATATAACGCATACTTATTAAATGGACGGCTCCGATCGACTGAAACTAAACAATACACGAAATTATTGAGAGCTAGTTGTCATTCTTTGATGCCTTTCGTCTCATACTAGTGTCTTGTCGATGCGGTAACCTAATAAACAAAACAGCTTTCCCCTTGATATGGAACGTTCACTAGGTGAGCGACCTATCTTGGGAGGCCATGGACGAAAACGACAGCAGTTTTAATGAGCAAAACGGTTACTAGTCAAAAGCATACAGCTACTACAAACCATTGTGTTCATATTAATTGAGTGTATGCCTTTTGCATACACTATAACCAATCATCTCAAGGAATAAAACTAGTCAGCAATTTTTAATAAAGTCTGTGCAAAAAGACTGTGACATTTTCTGTTGTTGTTGAAATACTTTTCTTAAGTTATTCAGTGATTAGCATAGAAAGGCCACAACAACAAAATGAGTTAGAAGCATCAGATCAGTGGAGTATTGGCAGAACAATCATCTGATAGATTCATTCTTATCGGATGTTCCTGAAACCCTTCTTGTTTCACATACCTAAATACGCTTTTATTCAACATCCATAAAGATTATGCAAGAAGTGGTCAGAAAAAAAAAAAAGAAACACACACACACACATGCACATGTAGGAGAAAAAACATTAAATTTTCTGAAATAAACTAACTTATTAGTGAACACTAATACAAAAACTATCTCCTAATATTTCATCATCACCCAATGCTTTGACAATTACAACAATGAATTGGACACATCAATGGCAACTTCAATGTCAATGTAGAAATAATCATTAAAAAAAAATACCATCGTAAACCTCGTGAGCTATCATATGGCCAATTAACATTTATTTTTAAAGAAAAAAAAAGAATATGACTCTGAGTCTTTACAAAACAACACAACATTGAGGTTTCATGCATTTATGTCTACTGAAAAACAGCATGATTGAAAGTGAAATCATGAAAATTAGAAAGAGAATGAAATAAAAAAACAAACAAAGTTTATTTTATGAAATACTCAGCACAAATCGACTGACAAAAGACTGTACTACTACTAGTAATTGAGTGATTGCTTTACATATATCACTTGATTGCTCAAATGTACAACAGTTCATTGACTATTCCACGAAACTGACTCTAACGAGATCAAACATTAACGATTACACAACATAAATATGTGCTCATTGTGTTTCACAAAAATGTAAGGAAATATCTCAGAATCCCTAATGAAAAAAGTACACTTTAGGCATCAACTATCTCAGAAAAGCACACTGACTGGAACAGAAAGTATGTGATCAACTCAAAAAATTCAAAAGGACCTACACACATGAGAATATGGTGACAAAATGATGAGTTGTTGCATAAATAATCGATCATACGTAATACAGCTATATAACAGGCTACAAACACGTTAACAATGTTCCATCCAAATTACCAAACTCAGTTATTACAACTAGCAACACACCATTTACACGCATATTAACCCATGACAGAAGTTTAAAACTAAGCATAATGCAAAAAATCGGAATTACAAATCATGAAATCGTCATTATGATAGCAACATTAGTGTAACAAAATCAGTTTACATAGACAGGCTAATTCATAGAAACAGACTATTACAGAGAAGTTCAGCAGTTCACCTTACCACTGTTATTAAAAGCACCCAAAACAAATCAGTTACAAGGACAACGTTGGATAAAAGGGTAGTAGAGAACAACCAAATGAAAATCAATATATGTTTCCCAAAGTTTAAAAATGATAAAGTGGATGAATCAGTTCCCAATACATCAGTAGGATCACTTCCGTGACGATATCTTCTCTGAAACGAATCATTTAACCGGGAAGCTTTCATTGTCATTCTAGACACCATCATGGCACAGACTTCACAAGGAAGTAGGCCACGACATTTTCTCCACAAATGACCTGATAGCTTATCCTCATAAACTTGGATGTGATCGGTTGTTCCCGCTAAATTCTTGTCACTGTCTCCAGACGTTTTTCGACCACCTGTTCTTCTGACATACAATTCAACCGTCTTGTTGTTTCTCGTTCCTCTTAATGCTTCATAGATTGGTCCAATGCAAACACATTCATTGATCCATTTTGATTGATTTATTACTTGTATCACACGGTGGATTACGTTTCCAGCACAATTTATGGTTCATAGTCACATCAAGACAGCTCCACAACTTTGAGACACCGTTTATATAGTTCCATTTGTCTTACCTTCCTTGTGATATAGATAGTAGAATTCTCCAACACATAGTCTGGATATATGGAAAATCCTACTAACTATATCACAAAGGCCAGACAATTAGAACGATATAAATCATGTCTCAAAGTTGTCGACCTATCATCATATGACTATGGACAATGATTTGTGCTCGAAACGTAATCCAGCAAGCAATGCTGATCCACTCTGTAATACATCTAATAAACCGATTAAAATAGAATTACATTCTACCAAAATGACCAAGTTTTACCCTCACATCTGTTCATCATCATTAACTAGCCTGAATGCCAAGCTTCTGAAAATTCGTCAAAATGTTTTGTATTTCCTCAATCCAAGATTTTTTCCATTTTCATAGACAAATTCATGTGCAAAACTCTCTATATACAGTTACATAATCGAAGAAACAATGTAACGCTTCACTGCTAGATGGACAATAAGAAGGCAACCACACTGTCCAATCAAGTGTTTTTCACAGTTTCTCCAGTTCACTTTGTAGATAACGTTCGTATTCACTCCTTTTCCTTCTGTGTTTTCCTACCTGCATAACAAAAGATCATTAAATCTAGTAGGTATGTGGTCTACAGAAATACCAACGGCTCCAGATGTTTAACCGAACTAGTTGTGGAGAAAATTTCATACTTCATCTCCTCCTGAAGTCTGCACTGGTGTCCAGGATCTCAATGAAAATTTAACCAATATAACATTCAGTTCAGTCAACATAACCAACATCACCAAAATCGAAACAAAGTTTATAAAACAGTTTGGTCAAAAAGTGTTCAGACACCTTGGTAATGAATCATAGAAAACTATAGTGTATGCTGACTATGAAGATTATTCTAGAAAGCAAATCACTTGTCGTTCAGAAAACCTCAAGTCCAAAATATTATTTTTAAACATCGAATAGTCAGTTTATTATCTATCACTGGTTGTTTGATAAGCAGGTCCCTTTTGCAACTGTCTGCACTACTCATTTTCTCTAATTTATTTTCGGTAAAACAAGTGAGTGGGTAGGTTCAGCATAAAACGTTTCACCAACTGTTAAAAAGTCGAAATGCACACAGAAATCATATGCACACTCGTGCAGTTGGCAATGAGCATCACCTATTGTGTGTGACAGCTAATCATACTACCTGGCTGTATACACGTCGGCAGCTGAAGCGGATTCGAACCAGTGACACATTGCTTGAAAGTCAACTTGGTTAAACTAATGAGCCACAAGTCAAACAACTATTAAGGTAATATTGTCATTTTTGTCTCACATGTAAGCATAACTTGTTTTTTTTCCATGGAGACTTCTGTAAAATAAATCTCTGTCATTCTCATTACATACACATACACAAGTTTGAAGGATACTTTCAACCTTAAGTTCATTTGTAAAGCCAACAAAATATAACTGCTTAGAACAACAACTGGTTTTGTTAATCTACATAGTCATTTCACATATACAGAAAAAACGAAGCAGACAAATACTCAAAAAACGCTAAGTCTTGATAATTAGACAAAGAAATTTACATATCTAAGACTATTTACATTAACATTAGTAACTACTGCGCTGAATACAGACAAGTACAAAAAATCTAACATTCTGGTGTAGACAAGAAATAGAGAGAACTGTTACTATGTATTGGTTTTCGAAACAAGACAAACAAAATTATTGAAAGGCTAGACACAAAACTTTACCATATTTGTTCACTATATTTTTCAACAACTTACAGGTAAGACCCAAGGTAGTGATCAGAAAGAAGTCGATAAAGAGAAATTGTAAATCAGAAATATTGCTACCGATCTACACAACAATGAACAAAATGGAAAAGAAAAACATGAAACGCGATAATTTCAGACGGACGATAATCTGATTAATTCACTCCAATAATGGAATAGATCAACTTAGACCATATTCATTAGATCAACACCGTCAACAACAATAATAACAACAGTAAAAGTCACACAAATAAACCCACATTTTGGTTTGATTCAACAGTGGATTATGTACAATTAGGTCAAGATATTTGTTAAATTGCACATTTCACATGGAACACTAGAGCATAAAGTTGAATAAATCTCAATAAATAGAAAGGAGTAAACCCTTTGATACACGCTTAATCAGCTATTTCTCTTTCTAATTAGACGCATATTTTGACCTCATGTATCGTTTGTTTCAATTTATTAGTATTATATGTGACCCTGTAAAGGGCAAATTGTACACTTTGACAAATATCTCCAAAGAAAACATAATTTAATAATTATTATTCTTAGTATGCACAACTGCTTCTTCAATAAATATATTGAAGTGCAGAAAAAGAAACTCAGTATATGTATTCGATGATGAATATAACTGTAGTAGGATCAACGCAATCACCCTGAGCTCCATGATCGGGAAACTTGGCGTCTCAACAACTAAATATACACCACATCTCACAATAAACAAGTTTGTAAAACTTGCCATTACTTTGCCTTTATGAACGCTAGTCATGCAGATTCACAATTATCCAGACTGAAAATCAATGATCATCAACTAGTGAGTCGGCAGACTAATAATCACTCACTCTCTCTCTCTCCCTCACACACACACACACACACAAACACAATAAATGTGATTCACTTCTCTGTCATACGAAGTAAGTGAGAAATTAATGTCACAGTAAGTAATAAATACGCATCTTCAGATAAAAAACAACAGAAACCTTGATTATGTTTGCTTGGTAGTGGTCAGCAACGGAGTCCAACTGACAAATCGTAAATGGAACGAAACACACATTCTCGATTCCAATCATCATGTAGTGAAAATAATATCAAAATAAAACTTGAACCAATATTCAGACATCCATTCAAGGACTTCACATCTTGAGAGTAATCGATCAACAAGAAATTACAATCAGTAACAAAAGATATCAATTTACAGTCATCTCTTTGCAACGATGGAATCGAGAGATATGCTTTCGACTTTGGAGAATAGTTATCGAAATCTGATTTCTGGGAAAATTTAGCCCAGAAACATGATAACAGAATGCAGTGACCGATTATAAACTAAGCCTTCTTCCCACTTCATGTTCTTTTATTAGTAAACTCAAATTAACTTAGTAATATTGTCTGCATGGGTAGGTGCTAAATATAATACAATCCAGCCACAGTCCAGATTTTCATCTCACCTTCAATCATCACCCAGTACAAATACTAGTCTGCTAAACTACCGCTATCTTAGATAGTCAAATCATAATACAATCAGTGTGTATGCAGACCCACCAAACAACCTATAGCAAAGCAGATTTAAACCAAATACTAATTATACAAACAATAAACTTACATAATACAAAAGGATAACTGAGAAAAACTGAATCATTGAATAACCAACCATAAATTTAAATGCACCAAAACTAGTAGTTAAAGCGCAACGACCTTCACGAATCAGTGTTGGAACACAACTGATATTCTGTTGTTTCGATGTAAACGGACTGGCAACACTAGCTTCGGCTTCACTTAAAGCGATTCCAGTATGTGCCACCTTTAAAGCACCACAGTCATTAGCACCATCTCCACACATGGAAACAAAATAACCAACTGATTGGAATGCTTCGATCAGTTGGGCTTTTTGTTCAGGCAGGAAACGAGCAAACACAGTACCTTTGACAACAAGCTGTTGGACAGAAAGATCAACAAATATACAAAAATATGACAGTTATATTTATACTGAATACTTCAGTCACACCTTAAGATACAAAGTTGATGCGAAACATCTCCAAACGGTAGTGAATGAACTGACGCTAATTAGTACCTACGTACATGGTTGTATACAAGACTGCAACCCTAATCTGCTACTGAACCTTCAGTTTAACAGCTAAAGAGGCAGATCAGAAAGCCTTATAACACAGTTTCCAATATCGGCAAAGCCTGGACTGGGCTGGGTCAGAAGCATTCCTCTGGTAAATCAACAATTAAGCCTTTAGTCCGATTTATGGCTGGATACTTCCTGTCATTGTTTAGTTTGGACTGGAATGATTAACTTCTATTAGCATATGAGCTCCTATGCAGATGGTTGGACATAGCTGGTAATCTTATGATTTTGAATATTTCTCAAATAAATAAAAACGTATATCCTCGATTTCACCGTTACCTAATATTCTTCTTTTTGTTTGACTCTATAGATGAAAGTTTTAGTAAAGCCATTATACCTACCGATTTCAGACCTTATAATTAAAAAAATATCGACTAATACTACTACAGTGCTTTTGATATTTTAGTGACAATGATGAATAACATATTACTGAAACCTCTGTCATCTACATTGAAGTAGAAGTACTATTTATTGTTTTTAGATATTCCTTCCATGTAGGATAAAAATTTTCAAATATTTCATAGTCGACAATACGTTTATTTCACGAATGGAAAGAAAGGAACGATACTTCGGTGTGAGATTTCAGGAGTCACCTGATAGGTAAACATAGACCTAAATTTCCTGTTTGTTGATACTCATCAGTAAGGCGTAACTCTATACAGGAGGAAACTGATATCCCTCAGTGATTCAAACCTGTTCAATGCCAAGGTTTTAGGACAAATGACTGAAACATTGAGAATCAATCAGAACTTGAAGAATAAAGCATCGCTTTCAAACCTTCCTAGTAATTGTTCAGAAACACAAAACCTAGGTACAGAGTTACCCATCAATCAACTTTCGATCTTTAACACCAAGACAGGGTGGCTAGAGTGTCGTATCAATTAGGTTAACGGTCACACTGCAAACTTGATCGACAAACTTCAATCAGTGACGAGGACTGAGAAATATTCAACTACACCAGACACATAGGCAGAATCAACGTACAACCACGTACACAACCCCATCAGCTAAAGTTGTTGCACTTTACAGCAGTATAAAAAGAACACGTGAAACGAAAAAAGGTGACATTAAAGTTATAAAAAATATATCAGAGAATAAACAATATGAAGATAAAGGTTAATGTGGATATTCAAGCTCTAGATGTCAAGGAGCGAATATATCTGCGCCATTCTAACCGATTTTCAGCCATGTCATCAACAGTCCTCTACCAGGGATTCCTTTTGTTTCATTGATCCTAAACAGACAGTCTATATCTCCCCACACCACTCAGACCAAAATTAGGAGACTTTATCGAGGTAGGCGGTAGACTGGCATGTTCAACACATGTACAGGCCATCTCAGCCTATGAAGGTTTACAACCTCATCAATCAACTTCCATATTTTGCCCAGTACCCTTCACTTGACCTCAACTACATTGGTTACTCACTGGTGAATTATATCAATCATTATCAACATAGGACCAGGCATTACTGCGTAACGGTCCGAGTTGCCACACTTCATATCACTACATCAAGCAGAAAGGTAGTGAGGTGAAGGATGAAGATAAGTGAATGAAGTCAAAAGAAATATAAAGTACGAGAAGAAAGGAAAGAGGAGCGACAGAATGGTGAGATTCGGCATAGTGTACTTAAGATGAGGATAATGTGTATATACATCTGCGCCACTAACATCGGTTCTGAGCCATATCACCTACAGTCTCCAACCACCCACTCTGCATCACCCCACATGGCTCAAACAAACAGTCTGAGACTTCATACATTGGTCCCATGTTTTAGTCTGGCCACCTCGAGCCCTTTTCCAGCCTAGACCTACTTCGGTCAACATTGTGTGACGAGGCAATCGGTGACTAGGCATACGTAGTACGTGTCCCAACCGTCTCAGTCGATGAAGGTTCATAACCTCGTCAACTGACTTACCTCTACTACCTAAAACTCTACACCTAACTTCTGCATTACTCACGTGGTGCGGTGACACCACGGAATATGGCCTATACTACGAAGGCAACGGTGGTCAAACACCTGAAGCCTTCTCATGTCTTCCACCTTCAATGGGTATGTTTCACAGCCATACAGTAGAAGAGATTGGACTGCTGTGCAGTACACGCGACACTTAGTAGAAAAACACATATCACGGAGGTACCATAGGTGGCGCAAATTGGCAAAAGCCAATCGAGCCTTTTGTATCCGTGCAGAAATCTCATCCGCAACTAACCCACCAGGGTTGATCCTACTTCCCAGGTAAGTGAAGTGGTCAACACACTCAACCACTTCACTCTCTATTGTTGGCCGCGGCACAGCTGAAGACCAGTCCTGGAGCAAAAATTTGCATTTGGGTGGTGAAAATCGCATCCCAAACATTCTCAAATTCCCACTCAAAGTGTTCAGAAGACTCTGCATCTTGTCAGCGTCTTCACCTAACAGGACTATGTCATCTGCATATTCTAGATCTAAGGAAAATTCACCTGTGATTAGGTCAACGTCTGTGTAATTAGGTGACGAGAGGGAAACCTCCATAAGAATATCTATGATAAAATTAAATAAGAATGGAGATAGTGGGCATCCTTGACGGACACCACTTGATGAGTATAGCTCCCTGGACAACTCACCATAGGCTCTAACATGCCCACAAGTGTTCGAGTAGAGAGCTTTCAATAAGGTGATGTACTTACTAGGCACGCCTTTCAGTGACAGACATTGCCATAAGACTTCTCGATCAACGGAGTCAAATGCCGCCTTCAGGTCGAGAAATACAGCTATTGTCGGGCGTCTGTAAGCATGCCTATGTTCCAGGACCTGGCGCAGTGTGAATATTTGGTCGATACATCCACGGCCAGGTCTAAAGCCTGCCTGGTTTTCTCGGGCTTGCTGTTCCCGAGCTCCACTCAGGCGTCGGAGAATTATAGAACTTAGGATCTTAGACACTATGTTTGTCAGGCTGATTCCTCTGTGGTTATCACAAGAGGACTTCTCGCCTTTCTTGAAGACTGGGATGATCAGTGACTTAGACCAGTCGGAGGGGATCGTATTTGATTCCCATATACTGGCTAACACTTCCGTTAGCCTGACTAAGAGAACTCTACCACCATTCTTGTATACCTCAGCAGGTAGTCCGTCTGGTCCTGCTGCCCTTCCCGTTTCAGGCTACCTACCGCTTTCTCAACTTCTTCTAGTGTTGGGGGACCTGTCTCTATGTCCCATTCAGGGTCCGACTGGATAGCGGGCAGCGCAATGGTGGCTGGAGGCCAGTTAAACTGTTCCTCAAAGTGTTCTGCCCATCGTCCCAGTCGCCTTCCCTGCGAGTGAATCGCAGATCCGTCCTTCTCCGCTATAACCCTCACTAACTGTTGTTGACCATTTCCCCAGTCTCCTTAATAAGTCTAAATAACTGTCTACTGTTACCGATCGCCGCTGCCTTTTCCATCTCTTTAGCCTTTGCTGCCCACCACTGTTCACGATCGTTGCGCAGACTTTTCGTCAGTTATTTTTAAGTTGCGCTCGCTCTTCATTGTACTCAGAGCCTGCAGGGATGCATTCACGTGCATCCATTAGTTTGGAAGAAGCTGCTGATATCCACTGGCTCTTTTTAGCCATTATCTTGGAGTCGGCTACAGTCTCCAGTGCTGCTTTTACAGTAGACTGAAGATGGCACCAAGCTTCTTCTGGATGAGTGACAGTCTTTTGTTCCGATAACTGCCTAGCCAACTTCTCACTGAACACGGCTTTGGTGTTTTCGTTGTCCAGCAGAACTCGTAGTGGTTTTGTTGCCAAATTTTTTCTACGTCCATTGAGACGCAGGCATATACGTGCTCGGACCAACGCATGATCGCTGTCCAAACACGTACTCCAGAAGGAGCGGCAGTCTTCCACCGATCCTCTCCAGCGATGACTAATAGCAATGTGGTCTATCTGTGTCCATCGCTGAGTCGAGCTCGGTGGACGCCAGGTCAGACAGTGCCTTTCTTTATGTCTGAAATTTGTGCTGGCTAAAAATAGGCGGTTATCTGAGCATAGTTGTAATAGGCGATCACCGTTATCTGTACGTTCAGCTGGGATTCCGAAAGTGCCACCTAAGTGCCTTTCTGCCTCACTCAGTCTACCCACCTGTGCGTTGAGGTCACCTGCAACAACCACTACGTCCGAACGTTTGGCTTTCGAGAGGAGGTTAGACAGTTTATGGTAGAACTCGTCCTTCACTTCATCCGAACTACAGTCAGTGGGTGCGTAAGCAGAGATTACAAAGAGACAACGGCGAGTCTCACTATTCCTTTTAGTTCTCACTGTGCCGTTCAGCCTCATAGCGCAGAGGCGACTATCAACTGGGATCCAGTCTAGTAGTGAGTTTTCTGCCCTGGTGCTTAATGCTATACCTACACCTGCAAGACCACGAGAGCTAGCTATCGAATCTCCAGAAACTCGAAGGGTGAATTTTGCAGATTCACCAGATTGGTCAGGAGAGGTCAGGTGAATAACCACACTTGGGTCCTGTATGCGTGTCTCACAAACACAGCACACATCCATGCCCGAGTTGCTAGAGTCTTTGCCAACGAAGCCTGTTGGCCAATTTGACGGAGGGTGCGGACATTGAAGGCTCCAATATGTAATTTGGAGCGTGGTTTAAGGAGACCAGGGATGCTGTTCTGTGGACTCAGATCGTTGTCGAAGGCTGCAGAGGTAGGAGAAATTGAAGATGATGCAGCATCATTAATTAAGAGACGTGAAGGAAGATTAGAAGGTAATGATGGAGGAGGAGGATAGCAGTCAGAAGAAACTTGGGTGCTGACAGAGTTGTGAGGGCGGTTGACACTTCCCGGCTGCCCACACCGTGGAAGGCTATTTCTTCTTAAGGTACCTGAAAGAGATTTGTGTGACCGCAGAGCCCATCGGACATCTGCTTGAGGCCTGTCACACCCAGCCTTTTGAGTATGATTATTTTGAATTTTTGTATTTTTGGGGCCGGATGAGCGAAAGGAAACGACAAGTGAACCAACACCGCCAGACCGTGGGGCGTGGTGGAGTGTGTTATTTTTGGGGCCGACCTTTTCTAACCCCCCCTTCCACTGAGAAGGCAGCATCAGCATGGCACTGCTGGTCATCCAAGGGAAACACCTTACTGCTGTCACACCCCATCCAGCTAGCAGCAGTACGACTTCGCCCTCAGACCCCCATCATAGTGTAGCAATTTACACTATAACGGTAACTGCTTTTCGTCTAACCACTACCCAACAGACCTTTCTGGTATGGTAGGACCTCGAGGGAACAAGCGTTCCACCAGCATAGCTCGTTGGGTCATTGTGATATGCAAGTCTTACCACCATCAAGGTAGCAGCTGTCGGTCGGGCTCACTGGTGACCGATTCGTGTAGAAATGATTTGAGTGTAAAACTAGTGAATGAACAACTTGGTGTAGAGAACAGGTAAGATTCATCTGAACACTTTTTGAAAAAAAACAGTCAGGAACAGAATGATAATTCTCTACTTTTTTGTAACATGATACACAGGAAGTATGAAACAGAGATTTAGGTAGCCCAGGAGAGAGGTTTTAAAACAGTTTTTTTTCAAGAAATTGGTTATAACAACAAAATAAGTCCACTTGGAAACCTAGGCTTTCATGTGAAATCTGATCTCCGATCAACTTTAATTCAGTAACAATGTAGGTTGATGAAATCTAACACCGACAAAGATGAATTGTTCCTTTACATTCTACACATAAATCACCATCAGGTTGTGTAATAGGTATCCAGAAAAATTTTCAATATAAATCACAAAATAGCTTTTCTAATAGACAAAGAATATATGGTGTTGTCACAGAAAGATGTTTATTTGTCTATGAAAGTGAGTGCACACCAGATACTCGGTGAATGTTAACAGTCATTAGGAAAATAGTATAGCCATTTTGTATGTAACATCATTATGTCATTTGGCAACAACAACGTATCTATCTGATATTTCTTGTATTATCCTGTCGTTGATTGGACCGAAATGATCGGTAGATATTGGTATATGGGTCACTATGCGGATGCCTCGTTATTGCCTATCATTTCAATTATGAGATTAATGATGGATGGTGGTTAGCAGTGAGTGGCAGGCTCGAAACCGCGACGCATCACTTCAAACGTCACAGCGTTATCCAGTGGGGAGGCAATATCGCAGATGCTCATATGCTAATGGAGACCGACCAATTTGGTACAATCAATGACAGGATAATACAAGCAACAACATATGAAGCATACCCGTCGCACAAGATATGGGTATCGTGACTCAGTGGATAACGTCGTGACGTTCGAAGCGACCGATCCCGAGTTCCAGTCTTCGTTGGAACACCATCGCTCACTGAGAGACAGGTACATCCAGCTGACGAGTCCCAAACAAGAAGAAGGGCGCGTCCTGGATTTCGCTGCTAACCATCATCCATCATTAATATCAAGAAGCATTTATTTTGCGAAAATGGAGTAACTCTAAAGACTACCCTAACCCTAACTGCTGAAATAGCTAATTAGGTTTCTTTCTATGCAAAATAAGATACCTTACTGATTATTTCAGTAGTTTCTAGAGTAGCCTTTAACGACATTCAAGAATGCATAACTATAACTCTGTCACATCATAATAACTTCGTGAATCACTGTTTCTATATATCTCTACTTAACTTTTCTTGACCATGCTTATGAGTCACCGACTGGATTCAACAAGAGACAAGAATACTTTTAACCCTTTTTATTAACAGCCTTTCTCTCCTTTTTACAATAAGTTATAACAGAAAGAACTGTAGGCTGATTCGTCACTGTAGAATAATTTCATGTTATCCAGTACTGAATTCTCTTGATCATTTTGCAATATAGTCATAAAGCCTACAGACTCACTAACCCGGTGGACATCTAGGGATTAACTGTTTTAAACTTGAACCGAATAAACCTAATTGACTTATCCAGTACGCTTTAGGTTAGTTTTTAAAGTCACCCTGAAATATCTCACGTATAACCATAAAAAGACGAATACAGCGAAGATAGATAAATTTTCGACGAATCATTTCCAAAGTTTTACACATTGATCAGACCCAATGTGTTAAGGACAAGTTACAGTCCTAACCAAACCTCAAAACAATATCCCACAAAAGGCTGTGTGTAATAGGTCTCAACCAGATGTTCTATGGGCTGTGTGGTCACACAAATCTACTTCTCTTTCAGGCACCCTAATAAGAAATAGCCTTCCACGGTGTGGGAAATCGGGAAATGTCAACAACCCGAACAATCCCAGGAGTACACAAAATCCAACAACTGAGCAAATTATACATTGATCCAACTAATATTAAATGGCAAGGTTTAAGGCCGACGACACTGTCAAACGATTAATACGGTATATTTCACGACTGATGAGTTATCATCCTAAGCAATTACGCATTTCTAAATTCTCAAATAGACAAGTAATCACAATACGCAGAATATTCACTTCTCAATACAGTAAAATTGACAAGTTCATTCGATAGGCAAAGCAACCATCACTACTAACCTTCGGTATTAGCCAGGGATAGTGTTCTCGGATGATCGCCCATGTTTTGCCCGACATAGCCAAGTGAAAATCGGGTCGATCAAGCATTTTTATAGATACAGGACAAGTGCTTCTTAAATGAACATTTGGTACAGTGTGAATTCGATCTCTCAAAGATGAAGTACCGTTCACTGGATTGTATTCATGGTTTTTGAGTTGATGACTTTGTTCATCAACACAAACAGTTGGTATCTGTGTTACATCGGTCAATGGACTGGATGCAGGCGAAGAACGAGGTCCACTACTACCTGTTGAGCTAATAAGAGGAATTAAACATGTAAATGTAATGAATATTTGAAAAACGAAGATGAAAAATAAAAAACTTACATGAATCAGAAAACGATAGAAAGCATTTCATACAATGAAATTTAAACTGATATGAACAACATGAAGCTCAAAAGAGTAAGTCAATCATCTACTTTGCTCAAAAGATCATCTTTTTAACCAAACTTTCTATACTGAGAAATGCATTAGGTTAGTTCAACTTCAGAAAAAATATCAGCTAAACTAACGCAAATCAGATATTCACAAATATTTACTGCATATGCAACACTTTCTACCACTCGGGAATATAAGGTTTCACGAGTACATCAAACAAGTATCATATTACATGATCCACTGAACAAGAAATGATAATTCAATTTGAAAGATTGTAGGGTCTATTTGATTGATTCATTTCAGTTTGGCATTCATTATGGACTGAGATCAGTTGGAGAAACAACGGAAACCTGGGAGCATTGAATAGCTGTTTTTTCCCCAGCAGTGCGCATTCATGACTCCATCACGAACCGAGCCCAAGTCGACCCCTTGCGAGGTCATGGTTATGCATGACTAAGGAATACCATATTGGGAAGAAACAGCCATCCAGTGATTCTCGGTTTCCAATGGTTCTGCAACTCATCTCACTCCGAGATGAATACCAACCTAAAAAAAGATGTTATTGAAAGCGATAAAGGGAAAATAGACATGTGACATAGTGATAATAGAGTGTGAATTCATCTGTATCTTCATAAACAGTTTTGTATGATGTATGCAAAAGTCAGGAAAGCTAAATTCAAACATTTCATAAACTAATGTCAATGCATTAGTCTAACCGGTCTTAATTCTTTTCCAATCATATCCAGCTACTGGTAACAAAATGATTTAGGCATTATTGATGGGTCGCATCATTTGTAACAGTTTTTCCAGCCACCAGGTGGTCGATGAAGATTCACAAATGTATCAACTAACAAGTTGCTCAACTTTTTCTCATCATGGGTTGGAAAGAATATTGTTGATTATTTTGTAGATACAGTAGATTATGGAAGACCATACTGAATACTGAATAAATCGTTGAATGTCAGGTAACTGAAATAGTTCTGAGGATCTGTATAACTTGTTCCTTAATACTCCGTGCATCGTTTGGTCACACGGCGATTTTCCAGTTGAACATAATTTTAAATAATGAACAGAAAATTAATTTTAAAACAGAATTATTATTTTTATTATTAAGTTGAAGAAATAACTTTCATGTGGTTAGAGAACTGAAAGTGGAATTCCTGACCAAATAGTTTATCAACAATCACACATTGTATGATGCTGGAAATGATTATTTGCCTACAGTCGGATTTCAGGTCATCATTTAATTGCACACAGTTTAATTAGTAGGTAATTCATTAAAATCTACTCAGTCTGATTGTGTTAAAAATACTATCTCAACGATATATCCTATTTCAATGAGGCACCTGGTTTTCAAAATGTCACATTCATGTAAAATGTGGTGTTAATGTATTGACAGTAGAATGAAAACGATTTCTAAGATAGTCTTCATAGAGGACTGACACTAGTTGGACAAACACTGAAAAGCTGAGAGCACTGAACGTCTACTTCACCTTAATATGGGACTCCTTATCATCAGTGTGTACCCACAACCTCAATACATGCCCAAAACAGAACCTTAAGAGTGTCTTCTTTTTCACGCTCCTTCAAGTGAATAATCTTGTCAGTCGTGGAAAAGGCAATCTGAATCTTATTTCACTACCCTCCACGACTTTGTAGTAAAATAATCAGGTTGCGAAAAATGTTCAACGTGCAGCTGGTTTGTTTCTACACATAATAATATTCATTCACAAAACTTAAACTTTCGCTTTAAAACTTTTATTAGTGTTGGGTCGTCTACAGCTTGAATAGAATTAATGAAATATGAAATTAAACCTGATGTTCCGGCGTACGAATCAGCGTCAACATCTCAAAGAACAGTCTGCCGCTGAGACTATGGTCACCACTCATGAGTACTTGGCAGTTGAATCCATATCATATTACCTGAATACTGGAGACGACAGTTGTATAGCAATATAAACAATAGAAGTTGTTCCGATTAAAATAAAACTATCAAAACGAAATTTAGAAAAAAATTAATTCAAATACTCCTCTTGGAGAACCCTATGAAAGACAAACCACTCGAGATAAACTGACTATTAGCAAACCTTACAAGACCAGCTGAATATTTAATAGTATATGCATATAAGTTTCAGAGTATTTCAAAATCTTAAATACTTACACACAAGGAGCACATTTGCACATACCACGCAACCATTTACGAGAGCTTTTAAATTCTCTAAGGGAGGAATTCATCATAGCTTTATCCGTTGAATTAGTGCCTGGATAAGATTTGTGGTGGTTTAGCGTTGTTGCTGTCTCAGTGGTAGCAGTCACTTCCGTAACTGGTTTGTGTAAATCTTCGGCATAATGAAATTCAACTAACGAATCATCCTGTTGTCCTAGAATTTTCTCTTGGTATAGAGAAACCGTTGTATTAAAACTTGAGCGCACATGTAGCCTATCACTCTCAGAGTGCATTGTTGTTGTGGGAACTCCCGATGATTTAACAAAGTAGGAATGTTGATTTGAAGGTAGATTATTCAGTGATTCTACTGTCATATCATCCTCATTAGATGCAGCAAAATGTAGGCGAGGTGACTCGACAACTTCAAGAGGTGGTGGCTTTGCAGAGACAAGAATAATGCGATCCAATTCGTCAATCATTTCGGAATCTCTAGCTACTGATAATGCAGTTAGCATATTATCACCTTAAAAAGTAAATTAAAAAAAGGGCAGCAAAATCACTTCTTCAAATGAATTAATAACAAATTACAACTTTAAACTCAATCATACAATTACTTCTGAGTCATTAATCTATCCAAGTATATGTTGTGTCCACACACAAACCCATGAAACTGTGACTTCCATCCCATGAGTCACAAGTTCGAAAACTACTAAATCTACCGACATCTGAGCAACAAAGTAGTATCATTAGCTCATTTTCTCGTACAGAAGTGTGTACCATAGTTGCTAGATACGTGTCAGTGAATTTCTTCTGACACATACATACTATATTTTGTAGTAGATTACTCAACAATGTAATCCCTTAAGGAGTCAAGTAGTCACCTGCTAGTATTCTCCACCAACAAAGCATACGATTGGATAAATCATCCGATTACATGCATGTCCTAAAACCAGTTGACCAGGGTAGAGTCTTCGGTAAACTTTGTGAATGTGGTTCATGGTTGTGGTCACTGATTATATATAACGAGTCACCGTTTCGATCACCACACTGTTACTTAGAGTGCCGTTGGTTAGGTTAAAAGAAGGCCACAAGTGATCAGACTAAAACATGATGTCACTTCATGACTACTAGTTTGAACCAGGGAACGAAACGTAGGCTTTCGAGTGAGCATCTGTGTGACTATCAATACAGTTGCTTCCAGATTAGGAGATATACAGCAGAACATATAGCAGCAGCTTGATGCAATATATTCACCGTTCCACGACTTTTTGTGATTTGTTGTAACCCCTATTCCTTTCATCTTGTGGCTTTCTACAACTTTCACTAAATCATTTCAACTTCTTCCAATTATGTTTAGTTGTTTCATCTACTCATAAGCTGATATGAAATGTAGCAACTTGAACTGTCAGGCGACAGTAACATGTGATATTGAATTACTCAGTGTTTAAAAGCAAAGTAACCTACAAGCAATAAACTATATGTTCATCATCAACGCACATTACCCGGTGTTATCAGCTGATCGCGGATACAATTCCTAATAATAATAATACATCTTAGTGGACAACAACATACCAGTAACCATTACAGGTCGAATATTTGCATATCGTAGTGTTTGAATCACTTGTGTCGTCTCTGGCTTCAGACGATTCTCCATGATAAGTAAGCCAAGAAATAATAGATCCTGTTCAACACGTTCTCTAGGCACACGTAAAACTTTCGTGTAGCTCGCTTTCAATGGTTTCCAAGCTAATGCTAGTACTCGATAGCCTTCTCGTGTATACTCCAATAAAGTTGAATGGAAATCACTTGGAACTGAAATTTAACAACAGAAAACAATTCAACGTTGTAAATGTCGTAGATATAAGCTCCTAATGCAAATCTGAAAAGACGGTTTGACTGTGACAATATCAAGTTATAAAAAGAAAACAAATACTTGATACAAAAGTATGCCAGATACAAATAAGAACAGCAACCGGGTCCTGTATTCCAGACTCATTGGGAACAACATCACTCACTCGAGTGCAGGTACATACCACTGACGAGTCCTAAATAGAACCAAACCCGTGTATCCCATTCAACTGCTACTTACAAAGCAGACTACAGGTCTTATCCTACATAATAATAATCACTGACAAGAGTTCAGTGAATCACTACTAAGTTGACAATTGAAAAAGATCAAATCCAGAAAAAAGACAAGTAGACATTCTAGTGGATAAAACAACATAAAACGATCTACACTGTATACATTAGTGCTGGTGGAGAATATACAAAATGTTAGGATGGAAACAGCAATAAACCACAGTGTACAACGGACCAATGATGAGGAATGTGACAGAAAGACCTGTGAAGGGCTGTAAATTGTGTAACCTGCATGCATGCATACACACACACACACACACACTGATTCGAAGCAGTTACACTGTGGACGATAAATGACAAGTCAGGTAATCAATCCGTTTTCTTCTCGTTTACCATTACACAAATATCATGCCAAATACTCAACAGAAATATGTAAAAGCACACACACACACACATGTTTATCTATTGATAAACATGCATAACGCCTAGTCGAATAGTAATCAAAGAATAACTGTCGCATGCACATATAGTTAAGCAAAATTATTCACTTAAAGTAATAATTATGATAAGAATTAGAATTATGCGTAAACACTTGGAAAGCGTGCATAACGCAGAAAAAAACTGCATGATTCCATCTACAATGTTCAATGGATTTTCTGAATAAAACATAATCCAATGACAAAAAAAATTGAGACAATTTAACATAAATTCCGCTTTATAACAACAACTTTGAACATGAGAAGACTCTAAGACAGACTAAAATGGGCATGAGAGAATAGACATATTGATAAACACACACACACACACAATGATGTGCATAAACAAGGTCGAACAATTTTAAAGTGCACAGTGAATCTGACGACATATTACTTAAACAGTAACTCCACAGACGCTTCATTCATAAACCCTGAATATTTGTGACTCCAAAGGACATTATTTTTGAACTTGTCATACTCCAACCAAGGTTATAAATGAGCACTGCTGAGGAGTCCCGTACTAGGACGAAACATGCTTTCAATGCTTCTTTAGCTGATGAATACCAACTTGAAATCAATAAACTCTTCACAAACCTCTAAATTCGTCAGATAAGTGTCCAGTTTCATAATCTATTTATATTTTCCTTACTTAATTTTCTTGTGATTCCCGTGTTAACTTCCCAGGAAACCTTGAAGTCATACACAAGTTGGTATTGTGAATGCCTTACAACCTATGAAAACTGTCACAAACTAACTTCAGCGTTACATTACATACTTGATTTTCGCCTACAACTCTTCAACTTTGCCATTGACAATATACTAGAGTAGACGGAAGAATGTGAGTACTAGTTTAGATGTTACCTGAAAGAATGTTCACCTTACTGGCCACTGGCAAAAGAAAACCTTCAAGGGACGTAACAAGGGACAAATTAGGACTATTAGGAGCTCCATACTTCCACACTTAGTTGACACAGGACATCAAGTGGTTACTGGAAAAGCCTTCGAAATTATCCATCAGATTCCAATTAATTTACCTCATGGATTACGCACTTGGTTACTTCACATAGCAGAGGCGATTGCAATCCACCTTCACAAACCTAGCCTTTGTATCCAAAAGAAGTTTGTTCGACCACCTTCATTACAGTGGCCGCCAACATGATGTAACTTCTAGGTTTATTCGGCGCACCTCTTCCCCTTCTTGTCACTATCAATATTCATATTTCCTATTTTAGGAACCCTATTGATTATTTACATCATTATTTCCGAAACACCACATGATTGGTAATTTGATTAAATTGTAAACCCATATATTTGTGTGGAGCTCAAGATGAAGACCTAATTGAAAAAAAATATATTTCTTCGCTCAATCAGTCTTTTTCTAAATGTCTAAATGGGAATATTCAATGTATACTATATAGCTGTTTCTTTCTTTTCCTACCATTCACTATCTTTCTTAACTGTCATCTCCATTATTAGATGGCATACTGCTGTACGCTTGTGCTCTTTCACGTTTACGGTACATAAGATAAATCTGACTTACGAACACTTACTTACTTTATGGCTGGAAAAACATTGGGGACTTGCACTTACTTAAAGATAAAAAGGCATACTTTTCACCTTCAATAAAGGCGTTTGTTCATTTTTATTATGATCCCGAAAAAATGTATGGTAAAATGTACAATGTTATGCAATTCAATTAGCCCATTTTCTAAACATTTTCAAATTACAAGTTGACATACCAGTCCAGTGGTGATACATCGGTCAATATCGAAGGAAAATGAAACCGAAACGCACTCGGCACCTTATGCACATCCACGCAGCAGGCAACGAACCACACCTATTGTAATGGATGGTGATATAGTCTGGGTGCCCAGACTTCGGTAGGTGGGGTGGGACTCGAACCCGTAACTTACTCATTGTTAGTCACCTTCCTAAACCACAGCTCCACACTGTTGGGAACCCGGGAGCACTGGACAACTTTCTTGTCCCATTATGATACTTCTGAAAAAGCAAACCGATGACCTCGCTTGGGATTGAATCCAGGACCTACAGGTCCCACGACCAACATGTTACCAGCGAGCCAATGAGTCATTGGTTAATATACAGAATATCAATCTTAAAGTATCAACAGGCGTTAATTATTTCGCGGGTTACGACAGCACCCAAAGATACAGACGAACTATAGGGTAACATTTTTAGAAATTCCGAACATGTTACACAATTCTTACTTTACGTAATAATGGCTAACAAGAAGAGAGACTAAATGACTAAGAAAGAATAATTGCAGATAAAAAGGGAAGAAGAGTAACCTGGCCAAACGGTGATAATGTTAATCGGATGGAGGCAGTTAGCGAGGAGTTCTTCTTGACCAATGCTTCGTGCTTGATAGCACCCGTCAGGAAAGCGTATCCGAACCGCCAACGGAACTGATTTTCCAGCGGGGACTCGAACCCGTGTCCTTCAGTGCTGCGCAACTTGAGATTCTACCACTGGACTATTTCGACCAGAGTGATGATAATAATAATAGCAATCATGACAATAATAGGAGTAATGGTAATCACCTGTGAAATGAACCAGAGTAAGGACCATATATGGATGAAAGAAGGAAGAAAATGCACTCAGGAACCTCGTACACATTGATGCATTGGACGATGAACCACATCTGTTGTATGAGGACTAATACTACCACTTAGAGCGGTGTTTCAATCCGTCACTAATGAAATGACAGTGAACTCCCAAGACCAATGAGCCAGAGACTTAAGTATTCATACATTAAATCAGCTATATAGATGGCCAAGGAAAAGAAAAAGGCTGTGCGGATGTCTTCTGAACATACAGCCTCGGCTTGTTTATGTGGATGCCGACTTCTTCTGTATGTCACGGACAAACTCGTACAGTATGGATAAGATTAGAAGGAATATGATGAGTAACTTTAAAGGGGTAGTTAATATTAACTCGGTGATTAGTGTCAGCCACATGAGTGAGTCTAGTGCTTCGTACCAACGTTGTCAATATTTTGCCCAATCATGAAGTATGATACTTGGGAATTCGACAACGGAATTCCCGAACCCTACACCTAATGTAACGGGGTTGAAATGGTAAATATACATTAAAGGCGGAATAAGGCAGTTTGTCTTCGATCCATGAATTCAGCACTGGTCGACTGCGATATATTAGAGACTGTTGTAACTACCTGGATTAATTACCAGCTAACGGTACTTTGAGATTGGTATTGTGTACATTAACTAATTGGAAAAAAAATATTTCTTCGCTCATATTGTTTGTTTTCTGAATAGTTTTCTTATAAAGGAGAAGATGAAATGAAACAGCAATTATTTTACTTGAGTAAGACAGTCTTTTATCGATACATTGGATTGTCTGTTAAACAGAAGAATTACAAATAGTTAACTGTGATAAAAGAGATACATTTAATAATCCAAAGTTATTCCTTTCGTTCAACGGTCGCATAGGTAGCATAAGAAATGTAACAGAAATACTAATGACAAAATAATTTTATGTGTATTAACACTAAAGTAAAGATTTCGTTAACAACGAAACTTGTAGACGTGGTATACGAACCCCAGTACTAATTAGTGATCGACATATGCAGATCTCTAATCCTTAAAAGTCAATAGAAAGAGATAATTATTCAAAATAAAATACCTAATTAACTCTGTATATTAAGAGAAGGTGAGAAAATGCACAATAAGAGCACATATGGTTTATATATATATATATATATATATATATATATATATATATATATATATGTTAAACAAAAAATCTAAGCCAAAAAGATTGGAGGTCAGCCAAGAAACTTTGGTGAGTTTCTGGCGAGATAAAATTCGTTTCATTAGTAATTTCTGATCATTTACGCGTATGGACTTTTTTATATATCAGTAAACATTAGAATTTATGAAAAATTTACGCAGATAATCTACATTACAAGCTTTAAATCACACAACTTCTGAGTGAAACAGATCAACCGGTAGGGAGAATGTTCATTGTGAAATTCTTATCAAGTACCATAAAACATTGAACATTCAGTAAAATAGTTAGTCAATTTTCATAAATTGTTATTTTTAGATCATATTGCAAAAAGTTAGGATAGTTTATGCCTTCATGAAATATATTCAATGTCACATTCATATGGTTTACATATTATCGTAATGCAGATGGATACACGAACCCAATAACCATCACTTCAAACCCTAGAGTATTACCAGCTAGATCACTGAGGCACGCGTCTACGACTCC